AGGTGATAAATCTGGATTTTTAGCAATAATGATGAAAGTGTTTATTTTGCATCAAGTATGTTTTTTGTAATATTTTGTATTCCCAAAGTTGATGAAAAGATGACTTAAAGGTGACTTTTCCAATAAGCAAGATAAACAAGGTTATAGCCACCACACATTTTAAAAGAAGCTGTTCTTTATCTTTCTGCCATCCATACCATGGTTTTTGCAATATGTATATTGTGGCTATATTCCCATATACCTGTAACCCTTTTGAACTCAGTGGGACTTGCTTCTGAGTCAGTATGCATAGGATTCACTGTCAGTAAATGAATAAGTTTCAGAGAGCTTATCAATGGAGGGAGGGGCTTGAATTAGTCGGCCGCTTTATTACTTGGAATCATACATAAAATCAATTACCTGGTTGTTGTTGTTTTTTAACTGCTCTTCTAACAGAACATATCTGCTCATTCAGGGGAATCACTAATTTCTCACACCCTTCCAAGAGCAATTCAGCTTTTCAGTGGGGATTGGGTGCTGCAGATGGAAAGCATTCACTTTGGGAATCATAGCCTAAACCTAGTAATAAAGAACTTCTTTTACAGTAATCTAGCTTCCTTTAGTAAGTATCTAGAGTAATGATTACCGGTAGTCTTTTCAGGGCTTTATGAAAGTAGTAAACCATGGTTACATCTTTACATGCTTTTGACCCTTTCTTACATCGCAAGACAGCCTTGAAAGATATTTGGAGGACAAAGACATTAAAATTTGATTATCATTTCTTCTGACAATACTGTGTTACTTGAACATATAAAAAAGGCAACTGGGACAGTCAATTTTTCATTGTTTGGTGACCTTGCAATTTTTTAATGACCTCACTGGGCACAAGGTACATGGAATAGATTCTCTGTCAAAAGTAATATAATCCTTTTGTAACAGGAGATGGTAGTGAAATCGTTTGTCCCTTGGATAATTGTATCCCTGTAATCAGGAAGCGCCTCGATAGCATTTGTCAAGGCAATTTTCTTTTGAAGAGATAAACAGAATTCTAAGCAACAAGGCAACAACTTGCTCTGAGCAGGTCAAATTGTCAGATTTCATTAAAACGTCCAGTTTTCTTTATGTGCTATACCTGGGTGTATCTATGTGCTTCCATCCATGACTATGAAATGCAGAAATCTGTTCTGTTACACTTTGGCTTTAACCCCACACTTGAGAAACAAAAAAAATGTATTGCAAGTAAACCTATTTTTCTTTGAGTCAACATTAAAAATATATTGCAAGTTTTAGTATTAGGCATTCAGGGCAAAATACTATTTTGTTTTGCGGCAGATGTTTTAGATAGCTGTGCCACCTGCCTTTTTAGGACAAAGAAGCAAAACATGAAACATTGTATGTGCACACGTACACCATCGGTTAAAGGGAATAGTCGTGCACATGAAAGTTTGTGTGTGCAGATTCCCAGTGGGACTGAAAACTGTGAATGCTTTATATAAATAAATTTTTATTTATACCCCGCCCTCCCCAGCCAAGACCAGGCTCAGGGCGGCTAACAACCAATAATAAAAACAAATTGATTAAAATACAATTTTAAAAAAGATTAAAATACAACATTAAAACATTAGGATGCAGCCTCTTCACAGGAGGAGAAAGGAAAAAGAAAGAGGGGGAGGGAATCAAATTGATTCTAAGCCAAAGGCCAGGTGGAACAACTCTGTCTTACAGGCCCTGCGGAAAGAAATCAGATCCCGCAGGGCCCTGGTCTCATGAGACAGAGTGTTCCACCAGGCCGGAGCCAGTGTTGAGAAGGCCCTGGCTCTGGTTGAGGCTAATCTAACTTCCTTAGGGCCCGGGACCTCTAGGGTGTTGCTATATATGAACTTTAAGGTCCTCCGTGGGGCATACCAGGAGAGGCGGTCCCGTAGGTATGAAATATGAAATACCTATGGGTGGATTTTTGCATCCTGGGGTTATACATGCCATTCCAATCATTACATTAGAATCATATACCCAGCACATGGCAGATGTCACTGTCAGTTTTGACACTGCTGACCACATTTTAGGAGACATGAAAGAACTAAATGTAATAATGCAATATACTGAATGAAACTCTCATGAAACATGCAGCCTTCATACAATCAAGCTCATTGCAGAAGAGTGTCTGTATTATTATACCCTGGTTAAACCAGGCATGTTCATTAGGACACTGTGGTGGATAATACAAAGTGCTAGACAGGAGCTATATATTATGGGTGTGTACATGCCCTAAGATTTGCCTTGTAACTGCATTTTTTAGCATTCTGGTTTGTTTCTGAGTTGCTCAGTGCACTCTCCACTTTGCTCTGTTCTCCAGCTTCTGAGGTCATCAACATAAAACAAAGTGTTGTGTTCTGCATTCACTTGGAGTCTAAAAATAGCCATAACATTTTTCTCTTTTGGGCCCAAGTGGATGAAATAGGATTCCTTCCATGGTGTATTAATCCCACCAAATTCTAGACAAATAGGTCTAGGGGATTTTGTAGGGGGATTTACCTCCATAATCCATTTTAGGGTAATACCATATTAATAGGGCCAACAAAAATTCCAAAATCCATATTAATTTCATATTTTTGAGGGGGGGTGTGTCTTCCTTCTAACCTTAACATAATTAAGAGACAGCCAAATGGGACTCAGGAAAACCTTTCTCTGCAGTATTATTATTATTATTATTATTATTATTATTATTATTATTATTATTGTCTCACACTTCCATTTTCTCTGCTTGAACCCATTATTTATTTACACTGCACTATACCAGGAAAATAAATACTGGTTTATAAATGGGGCAGGAGGGAAAAACAGGTTGTCTAGAGTCTCTTAATCTGTAATAGAAGCAAGCATGGAATAAGCAGACCGATAATGAGCCAATTGAAATTCTGGGCTTTTAAAGATAATCCTAAACAATTTACATCCTTCTGCATGCTAATAACACAATCACTTATGTTTAGTAGTACAAGACAATTCACTATCACGCAGCAGCTTAATAGCAAATGAGAACGTTCCAATGTCAGTTGGAAGGATAGCATTATTAGATTTCATTGCCGTGTTCTTATAATGCCCCATCAAGTCATTGCTTAAGACAGGGATTTGTTTGATCTATTTAGGAAGCATCTGATTCATGGTCACAACCCTATTAAAATGCAGAAACAATGAAATTTCTTTCCTGTCCTCATCACTGTAGCAGCCCTGAGCTGTTGGAAAGGCTAATAATGCTTTGTTTAAAAAATTGCTTTTAAAATGTCACCCTGAAATTTAAGGTCAAAAGTGAAGCACAAAAATATATGCTAGCAAGTGGGAAAATAAGGGTACCAGTGACTGCTATGCTATCTCCAGGATCAGAGGTAACATCTTCTGAATATCAGTTGCTGGGGAACAGTGGAAAACAACGCTGTCCACCTGTCCTGCTTGTTGGCTTCTCAGGGGCACTGTGGCCCTGAAAGGTGTGTAAAAAAATGCTGAATGGATAAATTTTGCTTGAGAATTCAGGGGAACAGGATGCTGAAGCAGATAAGTCCTTGATCAGACCCAGCAGGGCGCTTCTTATGGCAAAGATATATGCACTGTATTATTTAGGGCCCATCAAATCAAGAAGCAATTTTTATTCTTAGGGGAAATGGCATTGCCAAATGTTATGTTCACATGATTGTCAAGAATGAATTGTAACAAGTAGATTTAATTACCACAAATATGGAGCTAATGGTAAATATTACATTTAATTGCTTTCCTCATGTTTATAGAAGTGAAGAGAATACTCATCTAATCAAGGTGTTCAAAAGAATGTAGTCAAATCCATCTGTTAGAATCTCTCTGTCCTCAATATCAAAATTAAACTAGTAATAACAAGTAATAAATATTTGCATCCATAATGACTAAAATGGATGCATTGCTTAAATATTTTACTGTGATTGAAAAAAGGTTGGGTAATCCTATTTAGATTTATTGACATACTGTGCAATCAAACTCCAGATCCACCGGGCTGGAGGGATTTATGTAATATAGCACAATGGCTCTTTTGGTATAAAAGCTAAAGGTAAAGGACCCCCAGACGGTTAAGTCCAGTAAAAGAAAACCATAGGGTGCAACATTCATCTCGCTTCAGGCCAAGAGAGTGGGCGTTTGTCCACAGACAGCTTTCAAGGTCATGTGGCCAGCATGGCTACATCACTTCTGGTGCAACAGGACACCGTGATGGAAGCTAGAGTGCACGGAAACGCCATTTACCTTCTAGCCACAGCGGTACCTATTTATCTACTTGCACTGGTGTGCTTTTGATCTGCTGTGTTGGCAGAAGCTGGGACAGAACAATGGGAGCTCACCCCATTACGTGGATTCAAACCGCTGACCTTCCAATCAGCAAGCTCAAGAGGCCCAGTGGTTTAGACCACACCACCACCCACATCCCCCTCCTGGTATAGTACCCCCACTGGAAGACATATCCCCACCCAAAGAAGACCACGTGCCCACTTACAGGCAGCACTTATCTGCCTGGTATAACAACCCCCACCCAAAATGGGTTTGATGGGTTATGCCAGGACAATGAAAGATTTGACAAACCAGGAATTTTAGTTCTCTCTCGAGGTATACAAAGAAAGAACAGAAAATATTACAGGACTCCCTTGGCTAAGAGGACATTAGCGAAAGCTGTTGCCTGGCAACCACCACCCAGGGAAGATTTACCCCCTCAAATTGAGTGAGATCTAGCTGCTTAGCCTCATGCTCTGGCTTCAGAGAACATAAGTCAGAATGTTGCCTGGTAGGCAGAGGCTGACAGGCAATACTAGGGAAGGGCAGGAAATGAAAGTTGAAAAATTCTGACACCACAGCGGTACCATGTTATTTCTGTTCTTGATGCCAGAGTTGAATGTGATTTATATTGTGGGAATCTTTTGCAAATTGCTTTGAGAGCCTCTCAGGGCCATCTAATATGATAGAAGTTTTCAAAACAAAACAAAACAAATAAACATTTACTGTAATGCAATATGTATGTTTTGGGAAATTTATGTTGAATGTACTGTACAAACACCAGAAATTAGAAATAAGCAGAAGATATGAGGAATGTGTAAAAACTGACATGAACAAACAGAATATTATATATCACTCAAGTCTTCACTTAGTGACCATGTATATTGACTGGCAATGAATGTAGTTCCTCAGATAAATTTACATCTTCCAAATTCACTTGGGAACTACGCATATTGACAAACCACTGTATGAAATATCCAGTTTATACTGTCAATTTGAGCTCATTTTCCATGCCTTCATGTAAATGCACACCATATATATATGTATTCTCCATTCAACACACATCAGTCTCAACATCAGTGCTTTTTTTCTGGCAGTATGCAACAGTATGAAGTACTACCACCTTTTGGGGGGGGAGAGGTGGGAGGGCTCTCGGACCCTGTCAACACACCATGTCGCTTTCCCCAAGCCTGGGAAGCGTTTGCCCTGCTTAGGGAAGGAGGTGCAATGCTCTGACACGATACTGAAGCCTTGCTGCCAAAGCTGGGCAGGGGAAGTCTCTTCACCTGGGAGGCAGTGCCCCGGTAGGTGGGTGGGCAGGCGAGGGATCATTAAGCAGCTAACCCTTCCTCACCACCCAGCCTTGGCCTCAGGCCACACCCCTCATGTGCTGGGCCCTCTCCCTGCTTCCTGGTGAGTACAGGCACTTTTTTCCTAGGAAAAAAAAACACTGTTCAACATATACCCTCAAATTCCTTTAAAGTGGATGGTTTTTAAAAGGAACTCTATACTGTTAGGCAACATTAGGTACAATGAAGTGCAGGAGAAAACAGAACAGATCACTCTTTTCTGCTGAAATGGGATTATATATGCATAAGAGCTGTTCTATGCAGAATGATGGAGCTCTTAGTATGGTCAAAGACTAGATCATTAAAGAAAGTGCTCAATCCTTTTTTTTTAACTAGTAACATGATGTAGAATGTCAGTGCAGCCATCAATATTACAATAAATACTCGCAGTTACTATAACAGTGTTGCCCACTGCACAAGAAAACACCATAAAGAAGCAGAAACAGCCCAGAAGTCAGCTTATCAAACCAACACATCTAGAGATTCCAACAATAAAACTTATATGAAGGGATATCATAGATGTGGCAAATGAAACAATATAGAATAAAAAACAATTTAATCATATTTTAAAAGCTTTTATAAACAACATATTCTAAATATATTTCTGTGGAAATTAATGTTTGAAATGAAGAATAATAATTTAAAAGTTCTAGAATTATACTGTTTCTGTTCACATATCTGGTTTTGCTGCTGCAAAATTGGTGCATGCAAACCAGAAAAACAGAATGCTCCAGAACTATCATGCCTTTTTTAAAAAAATGTGTATTTTCAGGCTCTACCTATATTAGTGCTTCAAACTATAGTATAAATTATTGCTGGTCTTCAGTAGGTACTTGTTCAGCAGCAAGGCAATCAGTCTTATACTTTTTCTTCAGACCTTTTAGGTATATTCGCAAACTGTCTGGATCCAGTCGAGAGTTACGGGCAGTTTGAACTAACATATTTGCTAAGTGATATATAGCCTTCTTCATTAATGTCTCAGGAGTACTTCTTTGTTGCTTCTGTTATTTAAAAGGACATGAACAAATTAAAACCAGACTTTTAGCATTATATTTACTATTGATTAGTTACTTAGTTGCCTAATGCCAACAATCTACTGGGGACTAACAACAGATTTTAAACTTACAAAAGTTTCAGCTATAAACAATTAACATGCACATCAACCGCCAAAAAGAAAAGCAAAACTCAGAATGTCACCATTGAATAAGCCATGACAACCAACTCAACATATAGGTAACAAGATAGATGCCAAAAGTGTTGGTGCCCAGCAATTCTTGCTGGGGAAAACTTTGCACAGATGGGGGACTACAACCAAATTGTTCAAGTCAGGAGAGGCATTCTGATAGGTCTTGTGATCCCAAGCTGCATAATGCTGTAAATTAAAACCAACACTTTGAATTGGGCTTGCAAATGTATTGGAAGCCAATGTCGAGGCTGCACCATCAGTGGTGAAGTTGGACCAATTGCACCAGCAAGGGGGGCTAGACTTGGAACTTTCATTTATTAAAAACATGAACAAAAAACAATTGGCCTCCAATTAAGAAAATTAAAATGTGAAACATGCAGATAGATGAGCCAATTTGAACTGATAATTTGAGTTATACGTGGTGGTTTTTGCTTTAATTTTTTTTAAATCATTGTTTTATTCCTATGGTATGCTGCATTAACTGCCACTATGTTGCCTGTATATACAATGCAAAATAAATTACAGAATTTACTTCCAAGCAAAATTGTTTAAAATCAGCACCTAACAAAAAGAGCTAACACTAGAGAATGTTTTGAGATAATACTACTTACCGACATTTGTCTAGAAATCAGAGTTATGATCTCCTTGGCATCCTGTATTATTGATGGTGGAAGAGAAGAAACCTCTGCAGCTTTAAGACCTAAATATAAAACATATGAAGCTGTTTTTAATTGTCAGAGGTACATTTGTTTTTAATTGTCAGAGGTACAGATGTTACATTTAATCAAAAAGTCGATGAGGACCAATGATGATGTAATGCTCCTGGTCTTTTAACCAAAGCTAAAAGATTAGGAGCAGAGCAGGCCACAAGATGACACGTAAACTCCACCTATCCTCCCCTCCAAAATCTCATCTCCTTTCCCACGTGAGCTTAAACCATGGATTAGTGTTACATCTGCATCAATGTTAACAAGAATTTTCTTCTTAAACAAGATTTGAAGCAGCTTTGCAGATCCTAATAAAGAGGGTTTTTATCAGTTATCATAGTGAGCGTTTAACTACAGTTAGGAGTTGTACAAATATAATGCTAAGCCAAGGAAATGTAGGGTAGAATTCACTCCAAACATGAGATGAGGGAGCACATGCTCACATGACTTAACCACAGCCAAGAGGTCAGCAGCATTACATCTGCAGTAGCTTCTACATTTTTTAAAAAAATAAAAAACCTTTTAATGTCAATCTTGAAAATGCTTCTTATTAGTATCTGACTGGGTAATTTGCTTAGCAGAAAGTTAAATCAGAATCAGAATAGCTGTGCATGTTCAACTGTCATGTTGAATCAACTGTCATATTGATTCTCAAAAGGCTCAACAAGGTTTCTTCAATTTACATAATATTCCCCCATAACAGACTAAATAATTATTAAATAATGAGAATGAGAAGAGGAACACCATTTCTTTCTTCATGATATTATATCGAATCGTACTGAAAATACAGTGGAGTAATACAAGAGACTGGAAAGAAGTGGAACATTTTGCAGAGTGGAGAGGCTAATGACAGAAGCAGCAACAACAAGTAGGTAATAAAAATCTTAGTAAGCTTCTGAGTGAAATAGATGCACAAACCATATAGTTCTAAATACAGAAAGTAGTGGCTGAATGAATCCCTCTGCACATGCAGACAACATCTTTCATGTATTTAATGGAACAGGTATCTAGATACTCTTGTTTTATCTCTTCATATTAATGTTCTATATGTTTATTTCTGTAAATTATAATAATCCATATAGCATATTACCATAGTTTTTTTCCTCCGTGTGTCCTTTAGAAAGAACATAAGTATAAGCAATTTTCTCCCTACTTCCATAACTACTTCTCACATGTTGCACTTCAAAGTAATTGTTTTCCACATTGGGATATAAGGCATCAATTTGACATAATTCCAAAAAATGAGTGGCAAAGAGTGTAAATGCCTAAAGTATGAAACAAGAAATTAAATAGACTATAAATTATTGGAAAAGAGAAATCTTAATGACTATTACTATCTTTTATAATAGTTAGGGAAATTTCATGCACTTATTGATTAAAATATTAATAATACCTTCAAATTAAGAAGATATTCACAGACAGCGTAACATATGCCGATGCCTTCTTCAGCACTGGTACCTCTGCCAAGCTCATCAATTATGATAAGTGATCTGTCATTAGCATTTTGTATGATATATGCTATCTAGAGAGAAAGACATCAAATTTCATTACTAGCAGTAGCATGTGAGGATAAAATCTGTTAATAAGAATTCTCATTTCCTGCCCAAAACAAGAGTCAGGAAATTTACTTTAGGAATGTTTTACCAGCTGCCACATAAAAACAGAACACAAACAGCTCACTCTAAGAGTTCTGAATGCACATTCAATGCACACAGAAGGCTACACATCCCTTTTCAAACTTCTTTGCTGGTAGCAGCTCCATTAGGGATGCTGTCAGTCAGCAAAAAGAGGTGCTAATAACAACTGAATGCCTCTGATTGATTACTTGTACATAAGTGTGGGCTGAGCAGGACCGATATTGGAGCCCCCACTGCTACCACCTTTGTTGCCTTCCAAAGGGCCCCCAAACCAGAGGCGGGAGCCTCCAGCTCTTTGATAGAGCCACAGATAGGTTTGGGGGCTTATGGAAGACAGGAAGAAAGGAAGCAACAGCAATATTTTCATCTAATTGTTATTTCAGTGTGAGAGATAAAGTAACACAAGTCAATGTAAAAGGCAATATATGGTTTGGCACAATATTCAGCATAGAAGCTGAACCACTACAGAAAGTGATCCACTTTCTGAATGGGCGTTCCCTCTCTCCTCTTCCAGTCCCCTCAGAAATGGCAGGGGATGTGGTTCAATTGCTCACAGCTGGAGTGGGGAACTGGAAAATGGAATATCCCCTTGTATGAGTAGAAGTCCCTTTGATTCTCCTCCAGGATTCTGATGGATCCTAGCCATTATTATTTTGCAACAAGAATGCACAGTCTGCGGAATTTAAATGGTAGCTTACAAGGTGGCATGTGTATGTTGGGGGAGGTGTTTGCATGGGAAAGGGACTGGTGTGCTGAAGAAGAAAATGAAAACATTGGGTATGTGCAGCCTATTAGTCTAATCTTTGCCCTGTAAGGAGAAAAACAGAAGCAGAGGTCCTTGAATATTTATATGTAAGCAAAATGTACAAACCTGTGGGCCAATTAAATATTAATCAAGGCCACTGATAAAAGAAACACTAAGCTCATCTGAATACCTCTTTCATCTCCTTCATGAATGTTGATGAATTTGTTTCTATATCATCATCCATACCTATTCTAGTAAATATTTGCTCAGCAATCCTAAATGAAGAATATTCTGCTGGGACAAAAGATCCTGCAAATTAAAGAGAAGGACAAATTAATGTGAGGAGAAGTTGACAGTAATGTTGCAGTTTAATGTTAGCCATGTGAAATTCTTAAAATAGTAGGAAATGATAAGGTTCTCTCTTCTAAATAATAACTTTGTAAGGCTCTGTTGACAGGTGACTCCTGTCTTCAGCCTTCTCTGGTCAGAAATTGTCTTGTGTGGTGATGACAGTATGGGCCTCACCCTTATCAATAGATACTCAGACAAACAGGGAGAAGGGGTGCAGTCATATAATGGGAAACTGCACAGCCTGGGGAATGAAAGATAAACAAAATAGAAGAAATAAGTATTCTGGGCTGGGGAAAGGAAGAGAAGTCAGGCAGAGACTGTGAGTGATGGAACAGATTTGTACAGGGGTGGGGATGGCGAGACTGTATCAGAGTTGATTAAACAAGATAACTAAACAATGTTATTTGAAACTTAAGTTCCTGATTATGAGAAATTGCTGAGACCTCCTGTAAGGATAGCAACCTCACCAGGTCTCCTCTAAAACTAAGACAGACTTGGGACTCTGAAAGAATCAAGGCTGCTAAAAGTTGCTGAACTTAAAGGGAAAGGAAAGTGTAACACATTGGTTTACTAAAATCACTGGATAAGAGAAACAATGAAAGTTCAAATAACTGCTTACCAATTTGTGCCATAATCTGAGAAAGCGCTATCTGTTTTAGGTAAGTTGACTTTCCACTCATATTTGGTCCTGTAATTATGATAAAATTACTTCCCTCTGTGATGTAAGTATTGTTGGCAACAGGTTTCTCAAAAGATATTTTTTCAAGAACAGGGTGCCATCCTTCCTTTATTGCTAATGTGTCAGTAAACTCAGGACGTACTAAGAAAAAATAGATAATATTTACGGTAAATGTTTTGCTGTTAATAACAAGTATATCACAATCCTACTTTGGTTAAGTCTTGTTCTTGTTACATGTTAGTTTATGAGAAATCTAGTAATCAATAAATTCGGAACGAAATAGGCAAATAAATTGAGTAAAACAGTAATCCTCATGTCTTGACAATATAATTCTACATACATTTACTCAGAAGTCCCAGTAATTTAAATGTGGCTTACTGCTAGGTAATTGGGTAAGACTGCAGTCCAAGGAGGCAGCTGTCAGCAAAGTGTCACCAATGGGTAAACAAACATGGTTGGTGGCCACTGTGGATAGGAGCCAACCTTAGCTCCCATTCAAAAGTGGTGGCACCACCCACCTAGCACTGAAACAGCCCAGTGCCTGACAGAGTTGTGAGTGGTGGTGCAGCACCTAACCTAGCTGACTACTGTGCTGGGTCTGAGCCTAAGAATAGTTCCACTGATAGGAATAATATAAAGAAGAAACTTTTTGAAAACTGTAACTTTAATGCAACAAAGTTTAGGGGAGTGTTTCCTTAAATAATATTTGATTTTTGCTATATTTTGCTTGTCCTGTATACGAGAACTCGCTATTTGCTTCTATTTAAAAGACGCATACGAAACAATTGAAGGACATGTGAAGCAACTTATTAAAGTCTTATGAAAAAGCAACAAAAACTAAGTGAAGCTTCAATTTGATAGCCAGTCATATTTTCAGAGATGCTTGACAGAATAAAAAAGATTACACCCAGATCTTAACTTCTGAGTCAAAGAATCTGTCTAAACAAACTATATTACATATGGTTTGGTGATGCCATGATGCTATAGTAGTGGGAAGTATTTGCATGTTGATGCAGGCAGTCTTTGAATCTGCCAGTTACTTTTTTTTTTTTTTAAATAGTTTTTATTGCATTTTTTCAGACATAGACAGAGAAAAGAAGAGAAAAAAAGAAAAGAAACAAAAAGAAGATACAAAAAATCATAACCTTTCAACAACTTATTTCTATCGAGCTTCCCCGCATCTCCCGCACAATGCATTCTTAACAATAAATTTATCAGCAAATTATAACCTTGTTTCGTGTGTTTCTTTTATACTTTCAATTGCAGTTTAAGTTTAAATCCCTTGTTGTCCATTTACTCTAAAAACAGAATATATTATCATTTTTAACATTTAAACATTGATTCTTTCAATAATGTTATCCAATTTCATAAATGTTGCACTCTCATTGCTGGGGCTAGCATTTCAAATTATGCATCATTTTATAGCTCATATAACTTATAAAATTTTTGCAAGTAATTCTTGAATCTGCCAGTTACATTATGTCAGCACTATTATTTGACTAATTCACAGTTTGGGGACAGGGGAGGTAAACCGCAAGTTTTAGTAAAAGCTTTTCTAAATAACAAAGCTACTCACCATAGTCAGAAAGCGTACAGGCGTGGGCAAATGACTGCAACATATCCAGCATAGACACTGCATCAGAGAGTTTGTACAGGCAATGAATGTGTTCATAAATTTCACTCAGTAATTTACACACTATCCTGAAAGCACATAATAGCACAGTTTATTTTATTCCTCAAAGCAATAGACAAAATATTTAATAAAAATGTTGAGCTTTTAGTCTGAAATAGCAACTGTATCCCAATACAACTAAGAATAAATCAAATACAACCAAATGTGTAATTGTCTACTTATATGGAAGTGGACAACTGCCAAGCAAGTTCAGCACAGTCACAGTTTTCTTCAAAAGAGTGAACATCTCAAAAATACAGGGTTTGTTTTTTAAAAAATGAAAGGGAAATTCAGGAGCTTCAAATTTCTCCATAATGCTTGGGGGTTAATCAAAACCATGATAATAAAAGGTCATCTAGAATGTATATTGCAGATCAGGACAAGTATCACCAAGGCCAAGAGGATGCCAGTGTGTTTAATGACCCAAATAAAGAAAGCTATTAGAAGCTAGAAGGCTTCTTTCAATAAGTGTAAGTCTTGCCCAAATAAGGAGAACACCAAGTCTGGTGAAGTAAGTGGAAGCAGACAATAAGGGATGCAAAAAAATAAAATAAAAAATCAAGGAAATCACTGAAGACGTTAAGAAGACAATAAAATATTATTTTATTAGAAGCAACGAACTGTCCAGGGAGATGGTTAGCCCTTTGTATGACCAGAGTGTCAAAGGAGGAAAACATGGAAGACAGTAAGGAATTGCACAACTTGCTTTAAGAAAGTTGCAAGCTTGAATCTAAGACCTGAAACTGGGTGAAAATTCCAAGTCTGAGTGAAAATTCCTAGTTTAAAATCACTACCCACAAAAAGAGATTCAAAAGCTCATATCCAAATGTTAATTGGGCACAATATCAAATAAAAATGTTTGAAGTATTCTTACAAGTATGTCATGTGATAAATTTCTCTCAAAGACTCTTGGCATCTTTCATTCATTTTCATTAAGTCTTGTGAAGTAAAGCTATACACATTTTTCATTTTAGTAATCTGTAGGGAAATTTCAAAAAGAGATGCTAGATAAGCATAAATAACTACTCCCAGAAAACAAAGCAAGAGCAATTTGAAAAACATAAACTGCCTTCATTATTTTTTAAAAAAGAGAAAAGCAATAGTAATAAAGCAGAAACGTAAATTGAAAATAATTAGTGTGCAATTATTTTATCACTGGATAATGTACACCACCCCATAAATGTTTATTAAAATAGCAAGTGCTTTTGTATGTGTTTAAATTGTGGTAGCACAAGCTAACCCACTGTAAGATTAAACATTTCTAGGCTTTAAAATGAAGAAATTTGTGTTCAGATTATAAACACCCTCTTTGGTCATAAGCATTTACATGACAGACTACTGAAGAGCAAATGAATGCAGCATACAGAGAAGAATCTTCACCAAATGTTGTTGGGGTCGGAATTCTGTGCCACCACAGATTTCTGTAAATATAGCATCTTGTCCAAAGATATATTTCTTTATTGACTTGTGTAGGGGATGGAGGATGGAAAAAAGATGGGGGGGGGGAGCAAGTGGCATCATTCTAGCAAGGAAGGGCCACTGGCAGGGATGGGCTTCTGTACCCACAGATTTTTAGGGATACAATAGAGATCTCTCCATTGACTTGGAGATGGTGGGGAAATAGAATAAATACTATAAATCTCCAGGATTTCGATTGACTTGACGTGAAAAACAAATTCCAATCCCTCCTGCAAATCACTGCACTTAGGAGTGCCCTGAGAAAATACTTGTGATTAAAATCTAGACCTATTTTCCCAAGCTTGTTTGATTTTGTTTCTTGGGGGAAGGGAGAAACGGCTGAGCATTTTTTGGACATGAGACCACAGAGTCACTTGGATATTTGGGGAGTCCTTGAGCCACTCAAGATGCCTTGTTTTTAATGGAACAATTCAATTCAGAAATGTAAGACTCTTCCTAGAACTGCCTCAATACAAACCCCTAGAATATATACAAGAAAATCCTTATTTTCATTTCTGTAACATTGCAAGTTAGGGTAGTTAATGAATATTTACAGTTATTATAGAAAGAATATTATTTATAACAGGCTAGATCCAGACTGCATTAGCTGAAATCAGCATGACTTCACTTAATCGTATTAATTACATTTTCACACTGATTTCACTGGGTTCTCAATACCACAAAGAGTGCAGCCTTGTCTTCTTAATATTGATGGCTGGAGGAAAGGGGTTAGGATAGAGCATAGGTGCCTCTCGAACCAGCTATCTCACCAGTGGTTCACTTGCTTCTTTTAATAAGTGTGATGCCCCAAAATAGCATTGGAAGGTTGGTGGTTCGAGGCCCTGCGACAGGGTGAGCTCCCGTTGTTCAGTCCCAGCTCCTGCCAACCTAGCAGTTTGAAAGCACGCAGTGCAAGTAGATAAACAGGTACCGCTCCGGCAGGAAGGCGGTGTTTCCGTGCGCTGCTCTGGCTTCGCCAGAAGTAGTTTAGTCATGCTGGCCACATGACCCGGAAAAACAACTGTGTGCAGAAGCAGACAAACGCCTGCTCCCTCAGCCTGTAAAGCGAGATGAGCGCTGCAACCTCAGAGTCGTTTGCGACTGGGGTACCTTTACCTTTACGAGTCCCAGTTTAAAGCTTAAATATTAAGACACTTTAATCTTACCACCTTGCTGAGAGTGAAAATGAGAACAGGGAGTGTGACAACCTAGTATTTCTAGTGCTAAAAATAGCAACAACCCCCATGAATGATCTTGACAGTAACTTCAGCATGGAGACTAGTACCGTGACTGGCTGGGTAGTGGTGAGGAGTAGTTCTTAGGACAGCAGCATGGTAAGCACAGGGCTAGCCCCAAAAGGGGGATAGAGAAGAGTTACAGAATCAGTGATCTGCACATCAGAACTGATAGCCTCAACATCAGAGAAGAGATGGTCTGAAGCACAGTAGTAAGTAGTAGTGCATCTGAAGCTGGATCTTGGCTGGACAAAGGGAAAAATTGCTGCCATTTATCCAGTATGAATTGAGGCAGCAAGGTTGGCATGTTAGATGTTTAAATAAGGGTGCATTCTACACCCATCAAATCTCGATATAATGACCCAACAGCTCCAAAATGTGTACCTTGGTAAATTCTGAAGGAAGTTGACCATTGTGTATTGCTGCACAGTCAGCATTCATCTGAATAAAAAATCCTCGTGCGGAACTGAAGCTTGTTTTCAAAGGAAGGTTGTATTTTTCTGCAAGCTGTGCTATCATTCCTTAATAGCAAGATGTAAAACAAAAACATTTTATAATGTAACACAGTAAGGTTCATCATAGCTATCACAAAAATATTGATGGAAGTACTATTATGCAAACAAGTACAGGCTATGATATTGCAGAAAAAGTATATATATTTAAAGTACCCAAAATTAAATACCTAAACAGTGAAGTACCTGCAATATCATCCACAATCTCAGTGTATGTTCTTCGTGCTATATCAAGAAATTCATTTATATTAGGCTTCACTGCATAGCATTTCTGTGTTCTCATATTCAAGCATCCTTTTGTGTATCTTGTATCATCATTAATGACAGTTTTAATCTTTTCAAGTATGACTCCAAACCTAGAAATATATAAAATTGGTGCAATGTCTATGCCATATTTTACAAATGCTGTATTTATCTAAAAGTAATGTGATTAAAATATTCAAATCCAAAACCTCTGTACTTCATATTCACTGGGTTGTAACCAAAGTTGTCTGTGCCTAAGTGGATTGGACTTTCACTTGCACAGCAAAACAGCAAAACTTTGCCTTCCTCTCCTTTCCCCTGCAGCCCCCTGCACACACTCAAAATTTGCTCTGGCAGGTTGGTGGAAAGGAAGGTAAAGGCCCACTACATGAGTAGAAGTCCACTCTTCATGCTGAATTTGGATATTTTCAAAACCCTAATAACATCTTCATATCTAATGCTGCACGATCACATGTTAGATACTTTGCATGGGTTTCCTAAATATAGCTTAGATGTGAACAATAATTTTCTTTGCCAGAATTATTTGTTTAATGGCAATTTTATTGAAATCACTGTAGCATGTTTTTTTTTTCTTTAATGTGAGCGCTAGTTTTTCACCCAAGTATTCTTTTTCATGGTATGCTTTGTTTCTAACTAATCAAGTTGGTTATTTTCTGTCTTTCAACAAGTTTCCTGCTCTTCCAGTCAGCCACTCCTCCAATAGAGTCAACTTGCAAGCTGGCCCTTTCTTTCAATGGGAGGAAGAGCAGTCTGAAAGGGTCTCGAACACCTTCCTTACTCTACTAGAGAAAATAAAATGCACATTTTACAAAAACAGGGTGCAAGAAATAATAACATCAGTGTCAAAGATGTTTTTTTTAAAATAAAACAGTACCTGTTGTCTTCCAAAGAACTATAGTAAGCCTTTAACAATGGTGTTTTATAGCTTTTTAAAGCATCCTGTTAAAATCAACATGAAAAACTGATATATTCAAGTGTACAGAAATGTTAATGGATTCAATACCCTTTCATTCATTTAGGTTTAACTGGAAAAAAGCAGCTAATAAAATCTGTCAATATTAGATGATTACATAGAACAAGATATTTTCTGTACGCTGAACTTGTAAGTATAAGAGTCAATTTAAAATAAAAATCTAAACATTAATGTTTTAACCTCTTGGCTGATTATTGTATGAACTTGGCTCACATTCCAGGAAATACCATGAATATAAAGAACAATCTTGCGCAAGATAGAATTTTATTGCTTTTGAATTCTAATCAGTTTATTTAAAATATATACAACCTGACTCTTAATCAAAATTGACTCATGCGGCAGCTAACAATTAAAAAGTAACAACTAAAACAAACAAAACATCATTGAGTGTTAACTAACTGACTCATTAAAGGTAAAGGGACCCCTGACCATTAGGTCCAATCGTGGCCGACTCTGGGGTTGCAGCGCTCATCTCGCTTTATTGGCCGAGGGAACCGGCGTACAGCTTCTGGGTCATGTGGCCAGCATGACTAAGCCGCTTCTGGCGAACCAGAACACAGAAATGCCATTTACCTTCCCACCGGAGCAGTACCTATTTATCTACTTGCACTTTGAAGTGCTTTCGAACTGCTAGGTTGGCAGGAGCAGGGACCGAGCAACAGGAGCTCACCCCGTCGCGGTGATTCAAACCACCAACTTTCTGATTAGCAAGTCCTAGGCTCTGTGGTTTAACCCACAGCGCCACCTGCGTCCCTAACTGACTCATTAGGTGATAGATAATATCTCACAAGTAGACTTCCATTTGCATGATGAGACTACCCCTTTCTCTCTTCCACACACTCCCAAGAGAGGTCCTTCTATCTTCTAGAACATATTTTGGGTGTGCGCAGGGGGCTGCATGGCGGGGTGGCGGATCTGTTCTACAATGGTGCCCATTTCACTGACAAATGGACATATTGGATTTCACCCATTAAAAACATGGGAGCAGAGAGAGAGTGCTAGGGCCATCCCCACTCTCAAGGCGCATTAATTGCTTCCACAACCCTGGTAGCCTTTTCTTCCAGACAAAATGTAGTTGACCATGATAGATAATGGTCAAACATACAGAGCATGGATCAAATTGCTCCAATAATCCTATCCACATCCTCAGCTCACAACTGAAAGACATCTAAGCAATAAAGTACTGATAAAATTACTCCCTGGATACATTCTGCATTTGTATCCTTTCAAAAGTGGGATCAAAGTTGTGAGCGATTTCCTTTGCAAAATACCTTGTATCATAGAAGGCCTCTGATGGCACAAGGTAATCATGGGGTGGAAGGGATAAAAGCCTCCTCACAAGAGCTTTGCTGGATATTGGAGCATAGATTTCTAGCACAGAGTAGGCTCCAAAATGAGCTCTAGACAATGACTAGCCATGCTTACTCCCAATATGCTTTCGTCTATGTTGTAGCTGTCTTTTTAAAGCATACAATTGTCAGGCCAGCATTCTGGAGATGAGCAGGAAGTGATCAGGTAAATTATACAGGGGCAGGCGGCCTAAGTAATTAATTGTTCAGACCGAGGAATAATGCCAGGCAGCAGCTTTCCAGCACTAGGTGAAATAATAGCTCTTTGTTACTGGATGCCTAGTTCAGATGCAATAATACCACCCTCTGGCCATCTGAAGTGGTGAGGCACAATAGATGGCAAGCAACTGGTTCCCTTCTCTGGCAAACTAACACAGTGGCACAGATGGTAAAGGGCCTGGTTCCCACTGCAGGAGGACTTGGTTTTAAGACTCATAGGGCCAAATGATAACCGTAACTGACATTTAACATAAAGCTTCAGGACAGAATACCTTCAAAGGTTCTACAAGTTCCAGGGTGTGCTTCAGATAAATTAAATTTGTTATCTTTGATTCAGATGCATTAACCTGTTAGAAAGCAGAAAAGGTATATACTTTATCATTATTTTACTGTTTGATTAGCATAATGTGGCCTAGATACTGTTGTGCTTAATATAATTGTTGCCTGTTCAATTGTATTCATATTTTTTTCCGTATGAAGCATGACCACAAATGTTAGGAATGTTAACTGACTTATTTCCTTTCTCCCTAATGAACTGATCACTTTGACTGGCACTGTTATATCGCCATCATTTAGAATCATCTAATATTGACACTTGGTGATTCTATGTTTATCAGTTTTTGCAGTGAAACAGGAGCCTCTTTCATACACTTTCGGTAGGGAAAAAGGAATATACACCCACACCCGCACCCCAGTACTTAGCACCTACCTGTTCACCTAGGCAACACCTTAGTGGTCAAAACTTAACAATCTCATTCTATGGTGCTATGGAGAAAGGGGGAATTTATTGTGGACCACCAGCTTGCCACTTCTAGTAATCTACTAGAAATGTTCTAGTCAGGAATTTAGCTTTAGTGTCATGAAGACTAAATAGTAGCACCTATAGCTCTAGGCAGGCATGAATAATTGACAATTAGTGAAAGATAACATAGTAGCAGGTCTTAACAGAACAGTAATTCATAGGGTTCATAACACGAGCTACTTTATTACTGGATAAAGGTTGATCTGTTAATTCTAGTTTTATTGAGTTGGATGGCCACCTATCGTGTATGATCTAGTTGAGATTTCTGCATTGCAGGGGATTGGACTAGATGGCCCTTAAGATCCTTTCCAACTATACAATGCTATGATTTGTGTTATTGGTACTTTCCTCAAGTTAAAGTATTTTGTATCCTTTTTATATAGAATTATTTCACTTTTTGTCCTTTTTATCATTTATGTAGTTTTATTCAGTCACCGTTTGAAAACATTCTGTTATTTGAATTTTTACTGGAGCTTGTACATATTTTTTCCTAGTGTTATATTACTGGAGGCTAAAAACATTATTAACAATGATGACAATATTAGCTCTTTATTGTAGGAAATCATTATTTTGGAGACTGGGACTATGTGCCTAGTCGTTATAACCAACAAATGCCAAACCTAAAAATAATTTGATTTTCAAAAACATAAAGTGTAAGTGTAATTCAGTGAAAATTAAACACAGAGAAATTCCATTAAATTGTGTGAATTATTAAAATAAATATAGTATGTTAAATTAATTTTTTTATTAGTAATTAACGAACATTTAAAATATGTTCAATACCCTGTAATTGCAAACTTCTAGAAATCTAATAAAGATTTTTATCTCATTTGTACTCTGGTGTGAAAGTACTCAAATTTAAACGGTAAAATTCTCATTTAGTGCTGCAAGTTATGAACTGAGCACACACATCAATTAAGAGATTTCTCTAAAACAAACACAGAAGTGATCAATAATAAAAGGAAAGATAAGTGGCAGCTATTTATTTACCATTTATGAAGTAAAAGTATTTATAAACATACCGTATCCTGCTTTGGAATTTGAACTAAAACCGAAAGTAGTTGATCAGTGTCCAGGAATCTTGAAATAACTATAAAACAGAAATCAAGCAATCATTGAGCTCAAGCCACAACCGTTATATCTGACTGACTGCGATTTAATCCTATTAATATAATTAAGGCTAAACTGCTTTAAATCTAAAATTAATATGGCCAAAATGTTAGACAGAATATACTTTTTATCTTAATAAACATTAAATTTGATCAGAACAGCAACACTGGGGGAAGCTGTTCTCTCATATTGTTTCATCAATCTGGATAATCCTCCAAAACTGCTATTGGCCTTGGGGGGAGGAGGGGATACAGATATATCATTGGTATCAGAATTCACTTCCACTAGCTTGGAAATGTGGTGCAGGAAGGTAGATAGATAGATAATATTTATTACGGCCATAGGCCCATACAGGTAAAAACAACACATAAGTGACAGCTTGTGCCGTGGGGAAAAGAAAAAACAGTCGCTAAAACACCACTATAACAATAAATACTATAAGATGGAAAGGCATGCTACGCCTTAATTAGCTTGTAGCACTCCTTGGCGTCGCTTTTGGGAGAGGACAGCGACCAGGAACCTAGCCACTTTCAGGGTCGTGTGGGAATCCTTATCCTGCAAGATTTGGGCAAGGTGGAATTTTGGTGGGGTACCCTCTAGTTTCTGTATGATTGATCCCAACAAATTTGCCCGTGGCACATTGAACAGGGGGCAAGTGAACATAATGTGCTGGAGCGACTCCGGCGTCACCTTATCACATTCGCACGTGGCGGGGACTTGGCCCTTTGAGAATCTATGTCTCAGGACATTGGAGGGGAAAACGTTGAACCTCGCTTTGGTGAAGGCCAGTCTATGGGCAACAGTCGAAAGGGAGGAGAGGTATGATGGAACGCAATAAGTTAAAGTGATACCAATGTTCTGGGGCGAACAAACACCTCCCCCCAGCGTATAATTTTGCTGCAAGTCGATGTCATCCAGTCTTTGACGGATCAGTCTTTGAGCAGTGATTTGATCTAGTTTTAGGGAATCTGAGGGAGAGGAAGGAAGAATTAAACACTCCTTCCCCCAAGCCCCACTGTTCCAATCAAATCTGGAGATCCCTACACTTAAAAACTTAAAAAACATACATACATACACACACACACACACACACACACACACACAGCGATCCACTCATAACAAGCTGAGAATGAAGCAACAACAATATTCATCCTGCTCAAAAGCTGTGATTAATAGAATTATAATACCCATTATTAAAGGAAATACAGTATGTTATCCATTCTATAAAGCGATATTTGATTACCTGACTGAAGACCCAAAAAGAGTTCCTCTTCCTGAAGTAGCTCTTGAACAGAATCCAACCTTGTATTAATGGTATCAGCATCAATCAAAGGCTCTAAAATATTAGATCGAAGTCTCCGACTTCCCCCTGGTGTTTTAGTATAATTTAGAACACCAAAAAGAGTGTGTCCATTCCTTTGAAAAATAGCACAGTTGGGGGGGCGGGAATCTCATTACGAAGTTGATACAAAACAATTTAAACGTTCTACAACTGCTAACACACAAATCACATTCCAAGGCTACACTCGTGCTCCTTCAATCTGCGGAAAGTACAGCAGTACCTGCCGTGCTATCTCCATGAAATGCATGTTGCTGCATTTATTAACAGAAATTTGCACTCAAGTGATGATGGAACCTCTGCCCCCGCTGCATCCAGCTAACTGCACAAAGGCTTGAAATAGTTCTGGAAATATTTAGCAACCATCTCTCTGTGTGTAGGTGCTTTTCAATACGGGAAAGAATCAGAAGTTAGAGGTCTAGGAAAGGATGCCATGTACAGGAAAGTACTGAGTGGCCTTTGACATCAATATCATAGTGCACCCAACAATGCAGCTGCTCTGTGGGAGTAGGGGAAGATTATGCTGGAGGTCTAAAGTGAGCTGCTCCAAACCTGTTCTTCATGTGCCAAAGAAGAAGGGTATTAGCACAAGAGATAATACCGGCAATTATTATGCAACAAGTATATGACTTACTAATACAGTTTCAGCATACCTTAAAGACCCAAGTCATGCATTTTGCTTATTAGTGTGTGACTATAATACATCAAAAGTTTTCTTCTGAGCAGTGAATTTTATTTCTCAGTGAAAAGGAAGTAATTTACTCAGACAGTGCCAAATGAAAGTATTGTGATAAGAACAAATGAGAGGAAAATTTAACTAATCATTTGTACAGATGTTATCAAGAATATTAGAATTGTATGTTCTGTCAAGCAAAAAGAGAGAGAACAGACTTCAGAAGAATATATTGAAACTAGTACTACATTTACCATTTCTGTCTGCAGTGGGAAGGAAGAGATTAACACAGAGAACTGGGGTGGAAGCAGCTATAACTTTAGTGCACACATTATGGCAAGTAGAGGGCAGAGAGCAAAGTGAGTAGGACAGTACCAGACAGAGGCTGACACTAGCCAAGAAGTGGTTATTAGCCAGGCCAGTGGGAAAAGACTTATTTACTGAGTTAAGTTAAAGGTTCCTAAGTAAGAATTAATGGTGGCGGCGGCGGCACAAGTTTAGGAGAATGATTGGAGCTGGAATAAATAACCCTCTTCTCTCCACACCTCCGATGACTCCTTTTGTTGTTGTTAAATACACAACTTTGAAGGAAGAATCATGGGACTGCTCATCGCACGTAGCATATAATTAGCCTAATCACAAACTTTAAAGGAAATGGTACATTCAGAATGGAATTTATACCGTGTTCAATATGGAACAAATAATATCTATAAAAAGAAACACAGGATTAACCAGGGGGGAGTGCACTTGAGGGGAGAAGCTCTTTAGGACCTCAGGGAATCCTACTGCCTGGTGTCCAAACAACGATCACAGCTCTGACTTCACTCATTGCCTAAATACACTGCTAGATGGGAGCAATCACATTTAGAAAACTGTGTGCACCTTTTGCTTAATAACTTTATTTATTTATTTATTAAATTTCTATACCACCATTCATCTGAGGATCACAAGGAGGTTTACAATATCATTTTTTCCCCTAGAAGACAATAAAGTTCAGTCTGTGGCACCTGCCCGAGAGCACCATTGAAGCCCTTCATGGGTGCCATGGTTGGTGACACCTGGGTTAGACTGAAAAGACCAAAATATATTTTTAGCTGAAAAACAAACTTTTTTTAAAAAAAAAACACCGTAGGTATGCATCAATATCCACCAGTTGTTGTATAATGCAAATATAAATTCATTTCTATCTTCTCTATACCTTAGAGTCGTGAAATGAAACATCTTACCTAGGATTCCTGTTGTTAGTTATTAATTCAAGGTTTATGGCTGACGTTGAATCAATCATTGCTGTTTGCTCACTTCCATGGAAACTAATCTTAAGTGACTTAGGTGCATAAACTGAATTTTGTATGAACTCAACATACTTCAGCACAGCTGCAACAGCTGCCAGACAGTAGTATCTATGAAATTGTAAGACAAAATAAAAACAAAATTGCACATACTATTGTGCATAAGCTTTTAAGACTTATGGCTTACCTAGCTTTGAAGGTAGAAACCCTGAAAATATTAGCTGGGGTGAGCTAGAGTAAGGCTTTCAAATAACACTCAGAAACTGATGACATTTGAAAGGTCCTTCTTTGAAAGATAAGGTAAAGGTAAAGGTACCCCTGCCCGTACGGGCCAGTCTTGACAGACTCTGGGGTTGTGCACCCATCTCACTCAAGAGGCCGGGGGCCAGCGCTGTCCAGAGACACTTCCGGGTCACGTGGCCAGCGTGACATCGCTGCTCTGGCGAGCCAGAGCCGCACACGGAAACGGCGTTTACCTTCCCGCTAGAAAGCGGTCCCTATTTATCTACTTGCACCCAGGGGTGCTTTCGAACTGCTAGGTTGGCAGGCGCTGGGACCGAACAACGGGAGCGCACCCCGCCGCGGGGATTTGAACCGCCGACCTTTTGATCGGCAAGCCCTAGGCGCTGAGGCTTTTACCCACAGCGCCACCCGCGTCCCTTCTTTGAAAGATAGTAAATCACATAAAATATCTAAAGGGCTCGCTTCTCCCATACACATGTGTCTAGCTGTTAAGATCTTCTCCAGGGCTCACTGCTGGGTCCTCCCACCTTCAGAATCAGAAAGCTATAAAGGCCAGGGCCTTCTTTGGGGTGGCACCTTGTTTCTGGAACTCCCTCATTTTTTATTTAGAGCATTTGTAACCTACTCTTCAGCAAAAAGAAGTTCCTACAAAGGCTTACAGAAAATCAGTTAAAATAAGAGAGTCTCTGCCTGTAGTCTTACATATGACAGATACAAAAGGCGAAATGGTCAGGGAGGCAAGAGGGCTTGACTAGCATCTAGTCTGATAGTCTTTCAATGCCAGTATGCCCTGCAATCTCCCAAATCTGCTCCTGAGCACTGGGGAAACCACCCAAGGAAGATCAGGGGGATACATGAAGTACATGGGAGTGGGGGGGAAATTGTTCCACAAGTGGCAGTAATTCTACTTTTGCAACAATGTCATTATATACAACCTAAAGAGACTTTAATAATTTACTTTGCAAGAAATACTTGTGAGAGTATAACTCTTTGCTTTAAAACAACTGAGGAAGGAAGGGATGAAATATATTTATAAAAATTATGAATGGTATGGACAATGCTAAATATTTTCTCTCTCATCATTCTAGAACTGGGGCTCATCTAATTAAATTGATTGGCAGTAAATTGATTGGAAATAAAATACTTCATAGTACACATAGCTAACGTATCATTCATTTAAGCAGGGAATGGAGATTTCATCTAGCTTAGACATTTTTTTTTAAAAAAATAAAGCTTACATGAATTAATAGTGCTTATTCCATCAGTCATCAACCAGGAAAGCAAAATATATTATTCATATTAAAGGCAGTGTATGTATAATATCCAGATGCTGAGGAGGTGGGGCTAAGGGTGGCCATTTTCAAGATACACGGCTTGTTAATTTTTCAGAAGCAGCTAGTTGGCTACTTCTGAAAAAGCAGAATAGTGGATGAGATGAATCTTGTCTGATCTTCCAAAGCAATTCATGTGTTAAGGGAAGAGCAAGGAATATTGCAGATGGTAAACCATCTGAAATAATTTCCTTTCTGTGGATAAAGTTGTCATGTTTGCCTGCTCTACAGGAATGACTCACAATCTCCCTGTCAACACATCTTATTATAATCAAGAACCATCTGTCATCAATGAAGGCTCAGAGATAGGACAGGTGGAAATACTACTTAGCCGATGTCCAGCTGGGTTTTAGTCGTTACAGAGACTTTATAAATAATCTGAAGTCTTGTACTACATAGTTATGGGTAGGGATGTAATAAGGCATCATTCTCTGTCCTGCCCTGTATTCTTCACATGCATCACTGTTTCCATTCTGCTGCAGTTAGTATTCTATTAAAAGCTATGTTATTCATCTCTCTGTCTGCTGGTGAAATTATGTAACAAGTGTAACTTATTATGTAAATTATGTTGTCATGATGTTATTTAATCACATTCATTGAATGTGGAGAAATACTTGGGTATCATTTGTAGACTGAAAGCAGCAATAGTAAATATGAATCATATTCAATGGAATGATTTCTGTTCTGGACGTAAGTGAACATTGGCAATTTCTATCCTGGTTTCTGTTTTTGTTGGAATTCTGCAGCATCCCAAGTTAAGAGGAATTTTAGATTGAAATATGGTAAACAATTAAAATTCACATTCAACCATGCAGCACAGTGACCTTGGACAAACCACTGACATACAGCCTTACTTAACTCACACTGTTGTTGAAAAGCTAAAATGACAATAATAAATTGAGAGAGGGTGAGATATAAGTGAAATAAATACATTTAAGGCAGATACCTAAACCACGTCCTGTAAAATTTGTAGATCACAGTCTAGAAACTGTTACAAAAGATTCAAAGAAGGTTAATTAAGAATGAAAGCTAATAAAAGCAAATGATTTGGAAAAGTGATCCTGGCATATGCACAGAGTGTAATCTTGAGACAAAGCCAATTTTTCCATTGTCTTGAATGAAAGAGATAAAGATAAAAGCATAGTGTAAAGTCATACTTGGTGGTGATTCAAACACTGTAGGAGTGGACTATCTGAAATGAATTTATATAGGCATAAACTGCTGAAGCTGAGCAAAACTTTGAAGCTACAATTGAATAATAAACAAAAACAGGAACAGAGGAGACAATGCATTACTTTATGCAATTGTTCTTTTTCCAGCAGAAGCAACAATTTTGGCCTATACGCCCTCTGCTGGAATAAAACACTGGTTGCACATATCAAACAGCAACATAAGAACACAACTTGGAGCTATAAAGGAACTAAAGTGATATAACTAATGAAAGATAACTGACAGAGAGTCTTTCTTAAGACATTCCATTAAGGAAAACAGCAGCTTCACAGCAGTTTAACACTCTAATCCTAAACACATTTACCTGTAAGTATTTCTATATAAACCTTATTTTCATGTAACATTGTTTGATATCATTTCTTTCTATAAATCCAACCCACAATTATTAAGGAGAAGGTTATACTGAGCCAACAGAACATACTCCAAGCTGCTTTATGCAGAGTTAAGGTTATAGCCAACTAAACCATTGCACATGTGAAACAAGAACCAAGAACTCAACAGAAATTCCCTTCTTTCTCTTCCCCCGGCCTCCAAACCCCTCCCGGCCCCAATCTATTGCAGAGGCTTGGAGAAAACCTTAGCGCACTCTCTAATTATTTTATCTAGTTGGTGTAAGAGTCAACAACATCAAATTATAATTGGTTGGTAAATAAAATTTCAACGGGGATAATGATTACAGAAATGTTGAAAGCAAACAATGGCTTGGATCCAAACCTGCTTTTGGGCAAGTACAATGGGATTTCATTGATGCAAGGCAGCTCAGTTCCTGCGGATTCACCCTCCCACTGCAATCCTCTGTGCTATATTCTATATGCTTCCAAACACTTCCTTGCCTTCAGGAGTTGCTTTTCAGGATGTACCAGGGACTGTGGTGAGGGGTGTGTGTGGAAAAACCCTAGAATTCTACTCATGTATCTTTGGTTTCAACCCAGTATACAATAATAAGTAACCCAACATATTGGGCCAAAATCAATCATTATTATCAACAAGGAATATATATAAAGTTTTGAAGAATATTTATATCAACATATATAAGTATTTTAAAATATTTAGATCACTGTCTGAAAGCAGTAGACTAATAATCTTGTAGGTAGATGACCAGCCTATGAACTGTGAAATTACTAAAAATGTGGCATATCCAAAGATAAACTGGTAATTTCTATTTACATACATACTTGGACTGAACTTCCATCAGAACAGTGCTGAACTCAGGTATACATAATTGCTCAATATATTCCAAGCCTTTCGTTTCATGGAAGTATTTTCTTTGGACTGTAGTGAAAGTCACATTCTGGAAAACAAGCAAAGGCAGGATTACAGAACGTTGCTCCAATATGTAGAACCTTTCATTCCAATGTTCTAAAGAAATGAATAATTTCAAGTAGCAAAGCGAATTATTTACTCGTAAAGTCCCAAGTCTCAATATTTACATTTTGCTATGGGTGTGATTCAGAAACACACATGTGCACTGAATGGATCATTTTTTTAAGCCTTTGAATTGCGTTTTTATTTTATTCAATTTTTAAGTGTCCCTTCATCAAACAAGATCCTGAGATGGTTTGCAACATAAACATATTATAGCCCAACTAATAGTAACTAACTAAAATAAAACACTTTTCCACAGCTTCCAAATGTCAATACAAATTAATTAGGTATCCTTCTTCTTTCCCAATTGTTCATTTTTCCTATGTAATAATTAAAAACCATGGCTCTTTCCCCCTCCCACCACTCTTTTCCCTTCAAATAGCCTCTGGACGTTCCTGTGTAAACTTTGGCAGGTTTCTTACCCTGGGGCACCTCCCTCATAGTTTGAACCCCCAGGAAAGAGGAGGAGGGCAAGTTCCATTGCACAGCCAAAAGTCCTTGTGCTAGCAGATGCACTTGATTGGATACCACCCCAATGGTTTCCTACATGAAAATCCCTGGATGAATGTTTGAGATTTGGCAGGCTTAATCTACTCTCAAGGGACTCCTTTATCTGCAATCTTGCCCAAAAAAGATATAACCGTTTGCAGATTCCCCTTTAAAATTATTGGAGGCATAGCAGAGCATCAGATTTAACAAATCAGATTTGGATCCAAATAACATGCTGAATCAGAATAACACAGATTGGCCTACTTCCAGATGTTAGAAACACAAGGTGAATCCTGCACACCTTCATAATATAGTTTCTAAACTATGGTTACTACAAAATGTTTTGCAATTATTTGAACTGAGAAATTACGTAGTAGCAATACATTGCTAGCTTCAAAGGAGTTTAAGCATTAGTCTGAGTCATCAGTGAAGAAGTTGTTGGTAGGAATTTTTTTAAGAACACAAATAGGCTGACTGCAGACTTTGTTCTTTAATTATTATTTTTAAACTACTTCAACAATTTGCTTTAAATCTACAAAGCAACAGGCTCCCTTAATAATAAAGCATTGCTAATTTATGGGCTCTTCTGCACATCTTTTGAAAATGCACCATTTTCCACATCTGTTTTGTGCACTGTTTTGCACTACAGTCTTTTGTGGTTCTATACCACAAGTGATCTCACATTCCATGGTAAAAGGTTCACATGTCCTGCTCATTTTTCCCCTCGGCTCTACTGTTGTGTTTCTCATGTACCTCTCATCACCAAACCATAAACTAGATGACACTTATTTCTGTCACTGTTTTCTGAAGATATAGGGGGATGTGCTCTCTGCTTCTTTTTCAGTATTTCCATCACATTGTTTGATTATTGCTGTGTTCTGACTAAATATTATTGTTTCTAGCAATGCATTTCAGCAACATACAGTACATTACTATCTGACTCTGGTTTCAACTTTGTCTGTCATGCACATTGTTTGTCCTGAGTATTTTTCAGCTCCAAAGGAGAAGGATATACTGCACTCTGACTAAACATGGTTACTATATTCCTGGTATACTATATAAACATGGTATACTATATACTGTTGTTGTTGTTGTTTAGTCGTTTAGTCGTGTCCGACTCTTCGTGACCCCATGGACCAGAGCACGCCAGGCACTCCTGTCTTTTACTGCCTCCCGCAGTTTGGTCAGACTCATGTTTGTAGCTTCGAGAACACTGTCCAACCATCTCGTCCTCTGTCGTCCCCTTCTCCTTGTGCCCTCCATCTTTCCCAACATCAGGGTCTTTTCCAGGGAGTCTTCTCTTCTCATGAGGTGGCCAAAGTATTGGAGCCTCAGCTTCACGATCTGTCCTTCCAGTGAGCACTCAGTGCTAATTTCCTTAAGAATGGATGTGTTTGATCTTCTTGCAGTCCATGGGACTCTCAAGAGTCTCCTCCAGCACCATAATTCAAAAGCATCAATTCTTCGGCGATCAGCCTTCTTGATGGTCCAGCTCTCACTTCCATACATCACTACTGGGAAAGCCATGGCTTTAACTATATGGACCTTTGTTGGCAAGGTGATGTCTCTGCTTTTTAAGATGCTGTCTAGGTTTGCCATCTCCTTTCTCCCAAGGAGCAGGCGTCTTTTAATTTCGTGACTGCTGTCACCATCTGCAGTGATCATGGAGCCCAAGAAGGTAAAATCTCTCACTGCCTCCATTTCTTCCCCTTCTATTTGCCAGGAGGTGATGGGCCCAGTGGCCATGATCTTCGTTTTTTTGATGTTGAGCTTCAGACCATATTTTGCGCTCTCCTCTTTCACCCTCATTAAGAGGTTCTTTAATTCCTCCTCACTTTCTGCCATCAAGGTTGTGTCATCTGCATATCTGAGGTTGTTGATATTTCTTCCGGCGATACTATATACTATATTGGTGTTATATCCCACCCCAATATCCTGAATGGTGCAAGATTTCAGGGGTCCAAGCACTTACGGAGGGTCTGTGTGTCCTTTGGAAATGAGGCACATCAGAGACTGCAGTATCTTTACAATATATGGTTTATTTACGCATATATACAACCAGAGTCTAGATGGAGGGAGTTCAGAGCATTCACATTCCAGTACGGTCTCTTGCTTCTTGCATAGGTGCAGCAGTCTTGTATCCAAAACAGCAAAAAGCCATGCTCTGTCCCACGGTGGCCCACTTTCTCAGCAGCTTGCAAACTCCAAACTGATTTTCCTGCTCCCTTGCATCAGGTCAAAATGAAATCCTAAACCTTTTCCAAATTGTCTTGTCTCTGCACACTAACACACAGCTTCCCTTGCTGTCTGACACTGAAATTCCTGATGACCCATCTTTTGTTAGGCTAATGACTTGGCCATCATCAGCTTTGTTCTGCCAATGACCCACACTCAGCTAGCTTTGCCAGGCTGGACTGGCTTGTTTAACATACAGTGGTACCTCAGGTTACAGACGCTTCAGGTTACAGATGCTTCAGGTTACAGACTCCACTAACCCAGAAATAGTACCTCAGGTTAAGTACTGCGCTGCCAGAGCACGATTTCTGTTCTCATCCTGAAGCAAAGTTTTTAACCTGAAGCACTATTTATGGGTTAGTGGAGTCTGTAACCTGAAGCGTATGTAACCTGAAGCGTATGTAACCCGAGGTACCACTGTATAATCTTTCTCTCTATTATGCAAGTGACAACAACATGCAATTCCCCCCCATGAGGGTTTAATTTTAGTTTTATTCAGAGAAAATAAATGGTTCTTCTTTAAGAAATTGGGCTACAACTACCACACAAATACTTGTCAAACAATATGTTAAATAAGTGTTCCTTGAATGTACCTTGAAATTTTCTGTTATCAAGCTGAACAATTTTGTTGCATTTCCTGTATCACATGCAGTATTTGACATGATGATTTCCAAAGGTGCTAAAATTCTGAGTTTAGTGATAACCTAAAAAAAAGTAACATGATTTGGTAAAAATATTTACATGAGCAGCTTTTATAGCACATGTTGTTATTTATTTATTATTTTTAAGTGTGTGTGTGTGTGTGTGTGTGTGAGAGAGAGAGAGAGAGAGAGAGAGAGAGACATAATCAGTGTGCACAACAGTGTGTAACTACAGGACAAGTATTTGCCCTTTAAACTGCAATCTCTAATATGACACAGGGAGTCAACAGAGGGAAAGAAAAAGAAAAGGGGGGACTGAGCAAGAGAATGGTAGCAATTGTTAACATGTTGTTATCAAGAATCATAGGCTTGCTGTCATTTTGAGTAGCTTCCTAGCTCCTTTATTCCAAAATCTCTGTTTGGTCTGTCAAGGCAGACAAAGCTGAGACCTAGGACAAGAAAGCAACAAGTGCAGAGGAGGCACACAGGGAGAAGGGGGAAGTTCCATTGTGTGAGTGTGCACACGCAACAATTCAGGTAATCCTGTCCAGTGAGTCGGTGACTGTAATTCTATGCCAAGTACATGCAATACCTATTGACTTCAATGCAAGGGGGACTTAAGCAGCTTATATGCAAATATATATCCAGATTTACCTTGGCATATGTTGTATTGTCTGCAAACTGAGATAGCACAACTTCTGGATTTTTTAAGTCAATACTTGCCATCCCCACTTCACCTCTGGCAAGACCTCTCCCTTCTATTACAGCCACAATAACAGATGCAGCATTGTGAGCAGAAACTGAAGACGACGTAACTGTAAAAACAGTGAGATACATTAGGTAACCTGACCTAATCTAAATCTTTATAAACAACTGTTTTTAACATTAAGCATTTTGTAGCCCCACTGATTTAAGCACTGCATGTGCTTTTCTTGCTCATTAAAAACAGAGGGCAAAATCCAACACTGAATGAATGAATTCATTAATTTCGGTCACTGATCAGAGTCCAACATTGTACCAATGGATTTTCCCTTCCTTCCTTCCTGCGGCAGTCCCCACCAAACTGCTCCAGTGGGTCCCCAATCCTCCAGAGTAGTTTGGGAGTTCATAGTGGATGTAAGGAGGGATAAAGGAAAGGAACTCCGATTTGCACAAGATGAAATCTGTTGCACAAGTGGAACATTACCCAATATGGCTGAACTGTGCTCCATAATTTTTAAGTCAGAAGAAAATTACTCATAAAGTTTCTGCATTACTTACATAAACCAATCCCAACCTTTCTATTAGACCCCAATGCCTATTAAATAATGCCAACATTTTCTGGTTTATTTTATAGTAAGAACTGTTTATGTGTGTTTTAAAAGAGAAAACAGAAGCCCGAAGACAGTTCAGTGTTTTGGAACACAGTTTTTGAGTTTTGAAATACGAGGGCTGTTGCATCCTGTCGACTACAATGGACAGGATCCAATCATTCCCACATGCATGAAGAGGTATGTTTGCACAGCTTCTCCCTTTAATTGGACCCATAATGTTTATCAGGATGCTGTTTGTGAGATGAAACAGCTGACCATTTATTTGCAAAAAAAGTCACTAATTTTTTATATTGTTCTGATGCTGTTTCTCAAAACAATTTCCACTAGTTGTGAATGGCGTTGAGGGAAATCTGAATAACTTAATACTAACAGGTGAATGGTATGAGCCACTGCACTAAGATTTGTAGATGTCAAATGCAATACCAGAGGCCCAGTCACACACCAAGCTGCAATCCAAGAGCAGTTTTTATTTGTAATAAGTGAACATTCCTCCCTTCCTGGCATAGTTTTGCTAAGCAAAGGCAAAAACAAGGTACTGCATATCAGTGACAGACCATTAAGTGGCATTTCAAGCAATACTCTAATGCTATTCTCCAATACAAAATGGCATTTAAATGCTAGTGTGACAGTAAGAAAAATGGAACTGTCAGTTAACAAAACATTTAGATGATGAATAAAATGACGTTGTTTCTAATGTAATTATATTTTCAAAAATATCCCAAGAATTGTCTAGGTAATTATTTTTATTACAAAATACCTTAAGGGCCAGAAATTGACATTAAGAAATTATATGCAATGTGGTTCACATGTCCTAAATGATAGTTGTCATATCATGTTCAGTCATACAGCAGATAATGCTTACAACAGCACAAACTACAAGTATGTTAATGGTAAATCACCAGTCAAAACATCAGTATATGTTTGCTTCTTTTGTTTAAAAACACGTTCTGTTGGTGATTACAACACTAGAGAACTCATCAGTCTTTTTAATCAAATGTTAATATGGAAAGTAATATCATCATCAATCTTTTTTTCCATTTCAGAATCATGCTCACTATACTGGCAGTCAACATCTTCATCAATGTCAAATCTTCTCTTATTTATCTTTTTGCATACTATACAATGGATAAGGCATTCAAAACTGCTTGCTTTCCCACTCCCAATAATTGAATAATTATATTTCATTAGAATAGCTTAGCCTAACAAAATATATAATGTTAAATAGTAATTCTTCTTTGTGGTTGTTAACTACTATAACCATAGTCAGGTTTGCTAGCTGTAACTTTCCAAAAACATTCTAATATAATTTTACACTGCCCTCTACTGTCCACTTATTTTTTTGCCAATGGTGGATGCAAGAATATAACAGAATGAAATGCCACATTTTTCAACAATTTTGGTCTTAATACTTGTAAGATTTCCCTGAGATGCTAAATATCTGCCTCAAAACTGTTTCAGTATAACTTAAGAAACCAGAACATGCAGGGATATCACTTTGGGGGGAAATGATTTTTTAACAGAAATCTGTAGTCTTCAGAGCACCAGTAAACTATTTAATAGTATCTATCTTTGCACAGGGCAACATCTAGAATACTGTAGACTGTGCTGGTGGGGCCATCTAAAAAATCTTATCATGGAGCTGAAAAGACACAGAAAATGTCAAATAAAACGATAAAGGCCAAAATGACCTTTCCTGTCGGAATTTTTTTTAGAGTTTGAGATTTAAATTTAGTCCAGAAAAAATAATTATGAGAGGATATGACAGTGGTCTACAAAATTGGGGAAAGGGTAGAAAGGGATCCAAGGTGAAAAGGGTAGGAATGCAGGTGCTGTGGCTTTGCTGAAGCTGAGCAGGTGTTTACTTGATTGATGATCTGGGTGGATGAAAAGACTGCATAAAGAGAAATTTGAACATAAGAAGAGCTCTACTGGATCAGATCAAATGTCTATCTAGTATAGCATTCTCTTCTCACAGATGTCTAGAGAAGCCCACAAGCAGGTCATGAGCAGAAGAGCTGCCTCCCGCATGTGATCTCTAGCTACAGGTATTCAGATAACTCTGACAGTAACTATCAAAAACCCACAAGCAGGACCTGAGTGCAACCATGTTAGCCCCGCTTTTGATTCGTAGCAACTGGTATTCACACGCATACTGCCTCTTATAGTGGAGTTAGAGCATAGACTTAACCTCCATGAAATTGTCTAACCATCTCTGAAAGCTTTCCAAGTTGGTGGTCATCACTACATTTTGTATTAGTGAATAAAATAATGTAATATATGAAGAAATACTTGTTTCTGTGTGTCTCGAATCTCCAGCCATTCAGCTTCACTCAATGACCTTTAGTTCTGTTATCATGAGAGAAACATTGCACTCTGTCAACTGTCTCCACACTATGACTCCCCTTACCCGCTTTTAAAAAAATTAAGAAGCCTGAAAGAAGTAATATTTTTTCATGGGGGGTGTAGATATAGATTCCTGATCATTATGGCTGTCTTGTGTATCTTTTTCTTCTCTACAATATTCTTTTGAGGTGTGGCAACCAGAACTGTATGAAGTATTTCAAGTGTGCACTGGTACTGAATATGCAAAATTATATTATTTTTGTCTGAATATGCATCACTTTACACTTGTTTACATTGCACTGTATTTCCTATTTTAATGCCAGTCACCCAATTTGGAGAGATCCTTTTGGAGCTCCTCACAACCCCTTTTTGTTTTTACTTTTCATTTTAATGATTTGGTGTTATCAGCAAACTTGGCCACCTTATTTTTCACTTTCATAAAAATAGAATTTGGATATGTGCAGTGAAATAGACTGGCAGTAGGTTCACAAGATACATTATACAACAATAAGTAAGAAACTTGCAGAATTGCCCAGCATGGTATGTGGTGATGGCCCTCAGTTATATGGCTTTGAAAAGGCTTGGAGAAATCAGTGGAGGAAGAGTTTCTCAACAGGTATTACCGTATTTAAGAGAAGTGGAACCTGCAACAATTAAAAGTGCTTTGTATTTAGCACTTCTCACAAGCTTGGCCATACCTCCTTCTGGTATGTGGAAGGCGCTGTTTTTGTTACATAAAGAGTGACACCTCTCAACTTCAGAAAGAGAGGCAATGCAAGTTAAATGGAAGCACCATGTTAAGAGGCAGTAAACCTTGAGTATTGGATGCTGGAGACAAAAAGCAGGGGAAGGTCATCACCATTACGACTTGCCTGTGAGCTTCTCGAAGGTTTTGGGTCCGAGCACAATTTACGGTATCTGGACTAAATAGATCTTAATCTGATCCATCAATGCAATTCTTATGTTCTTCTCCAAGTCTGAAATTTGCATTTTCTAAATTCATGAGCTACAGGTATAAAGCAGGAAAACAATGAAACTGGATTTTTTCTCAAGTTAACTTCTCATTGTGGGAACTGCTGCATTGCTGCACTCTTTCTGTCCCCTGAAGGTAACAACAGAAGCCTTGAGCCATTTGGCAGAAGACCCTGCAAGTGCTGCTGCCTCAACATTCTATCCAGTGCACAACATTGACTTTTTGTTACATAGAAATGTGACAATTTATTTTGTGATATATTGATCATGGAAACACACAAGACATCTTCTAACCTAACCTCATCTTGAAGATACAGTTACATTCTGATTCTTTACAGCAGAATTTGTGAAAATTCTTCAAGAAAATCTCTTTTGCACAACCATGAGTTAGGGTAACAAATGATCAAACCAAATATGGAGTCCAATGGTGGCCACCCACCAGCGGAAATGATTTCCACTGGGGCAATGCGACTTTCCCTTCTTCTCATGCCCCCTGCAGCCCCAAAATTTTATCCTGAGGGCTGGGGACCATCTTCAGAGTGAATTTGGGGAGGCTGTGGGGGACAGATAAGAAGCCCACAGCCCCAACTTTTTTTTTTTTTGTATTTAAAACCCATCTGTGTAAATATTAAGATGTACAAATCACAGTAGGTGAACTTCACCTGAATATCCCATAAAAGGAGTCCCGTTTCTACACCCTGTTCTACTTGATGAGAGAGGTGTTTTTCGTACTCGAGAAATATGTAGAGCTCGGGTTGAAGAAGAGCTTGTCAAATTCACTGTGCTAATGTTTTCTGCATAGGAACTCTTGTCTCCAAAGTATGACTCTAATAAAAAAAAATTGCTCTTAAAGAGAAATTTAGAATTAGTGATTGCAATGTTTGCTTTGCAGAGATAGTTGCAACAGTAGCTTGTAAGAACAATCTTGATCCTATTAAAATCAATGTAAAATTACTCTGAGACCTGTAACAGAAATGATCACCCTAACAAATAATTTTAGGACGTTCTAAACATATTTGGAAAATCAAGATAACCAATTCCCATTTTAACAAAAATTAATCATTTTCTGCACAAGCAAAAGAAAAAACAGTACCTGTTATATATTTATTATATATAATTGTGCTTCTCCTATCTGTTATATATAGTTAGTTCATTTCTGGACTTTTATACTATTTACATATACTGGATCTTGAACTGTATTTAAATGGGCTTAATTAATAAATCATTTCGGATGGGAATACAGCCTTAGCATTGGGTTTTTTTTATTGGGGTTTTTTTATTGGTTTGAGTGGGTGAATAGTATGATTTACAATGCAATCCTATACATGTATATTCATGACAGAGTGGGGATTTTTGAACCCTTATCTCCCAGGTCTTAGACCGACACTCTAACCACTATACCACACTGGTTTCCTAGAGTACTTCTGCTATGGAGCAGCTGTATAAATTAAATAGGAAAACAAATATGAGGAAAGCAAAATGCCACTTAGAGAAGGATCCAATATATTTTCCTTGATGCTTGAATTTGTTTTATTGTGGATTGTTTTATTTAATGTTTCAATGTGTTGCAAACTGCTTTGAGATTTTTTTCTTTAAAATAAATAAAAAAAATCAGTGTGGTGCATTTTTATTCTTAAGGTCTGGCCCAGATAAAAAAAGTTGTGCTTACCTACTGTTAAGTCATGTTCATTAAGTTCAAAGGGTTTTCTCTGAATAGAACATTGGAAACAATTGCAGCCATAGTGGAATTGAGTGTTTAGGTGCAGAGAAGTGGATTTGTAAATGTTCAAATAATTATTTACTACCCCAGTTTGATCTTACACATTTTTGAAAGATGTGGGGAGTTTTCACATGCCTTTCAGCTTCTTTTGAATTGTCTGGATTCATGTGCGACCATTGTTAATGAAAGGCAGTAGGGAGGAAACAGAGAAAGTGCTTTGTTGCAAATACAAAAATCTTAAATTCTCATCTTAGGGAAAAGAGGAAAAGCAAAACACACTTTTTTAACTAAGGAAAACACTTTTTCTACATATGTGAATAAAGACCCGATGCCACCGTTCATTAGGCACACACACACACACACAAAATTAAAACTTGGCAGATCTTAACAAGTTATGTGAATAAACCCAGAATATGGGGTCTTCTGGAAGAGCCAGAAGATGATTGACGAAATCTGGAATTGTGCAGCACTTAACCAATTTAAAGCTCTGCAACTGAGGTGGTTTTGGGAAAGGAGAGGCATAGCTGAACACGTCCCTAGGTTGCTTATCAACACAACCAGTTGTTATTTTGCCTTTGAACCCTCAGAACTCAAGCTTGACGGTGTGTCTGTTTTAACCCAGAGGAGAGAAACTGCCTCTCCCACCTTCCAGCCCCCTTGAGAGGAAGGGCGCCATGAAGCCGCTGCGGGAGCCTCGGTCTCTCTGAGGGCGAAGGGGCTGCTCGTCCGAGGAAGACGGAGGGTCGCCGCCGCGGCCAGCAGGCGCCTGCTCCGACCCGAGCAGGCCACGGGGCCGCCGCTCCGCGCAAGGCGAAGAAGAGGAAGGAGCCGAGAAGGAGGTGGAGGCTGCCGAAACCTCCTCCATCCGGAGGCTTGTTCAAACGTCTCCCCAACCCTGAAACCAGAAGCAGCCTTGAAGCTTTCGCGGGTTCATCCCGCCCCCTCGCATAGAGCCAGGAATCCGCACGGCGGGAAAAACGGTTGAACGGGCTGATCCATTTCAGCCAGCAGAGGGAGGGGAGGGGAAGGTTGGTAGTTTTTGTTACTGTCAACGACAGTAAAGACACCGAGTACACCTCCACGCAATTCTGGTTTCCTTCTTTAAGGGGATTTCCCGACCTCTCCACATGGAGAGCATTGCAAAATAATGTGATTCCCCTTCACCCCGCGTGCAGGTTTAAGGTGGTACGGTCCATCCCTATCGAGGCTTCAGCGCCGCACAGGGACGGCGGGTGGCCCCAATGGCTTTGCCTTAGTGCCGGCCAGAGGTTCGTTAAGTGCGGCAGCGCCTGCTTCTCCCTTTGACTGACAGTCATTTCTTCCTTCCTCATAGTCCTAACAGCACGCGGCCTTCCCTTTAAGTATGAAGAAAACTCATTATGTTCTGAAGGGTACAGGGCAACGCATGCATCACTAGTAGTAAAAAAAATATGGTGGAAATTGTAGCCCAACATTTGGAAGGCAGCACGTCGGCTGTTCCCATCTTAGGGAATGGCCCACAAAGTAATTTTCCATTCCCTCTCTGCAGCCTCCTCCCAAAAAAAACTTCTGAGGAATTTCTTTGACTATCTGCAGAATGTGGCTAGGGGAAACTTTCTGAAAACACAAATTTGTGCGAGTTTCCTATGCTCACTCCTTTTCCAACAGCCCCAGCTTTCACTCCAAATCGTTCTATCTTCCAGATTTGGGGGTGGGGGGCTCAAGTGGCTGCAGGGAAAGGACCAGGAAATTTCCCTTTCATGAACTTCCTGCAGTTTCACCAAGCAAAATACACTACAATTTACACTACAATATTTGCTTGCAGCCTACTAATCTGACAGAAAGGCTGGGGGGGTGCAGATAGGGGCTTGAGTTTATGAAGAATTGTTAGCATAAATTCAAGCTAAAGATCTAGCAAACCAGCCAAGGAGAAGCTGATGAACAGAGAAAAAATTTGTATAGTGGTACCTCGGGTTTCAGACGCTTCAGGTTATAGACTCTGCTAACCCAGAAACAGTACCTCAGGTTAAGAACTTTGCTCCAGGATGAGAACAGAAATCACGCTGCAGCAGCAGGAGGCTCCATTAGCTAAAGTGGTATCTCAGGTTAACAGACCTCCAGAACGAATTAAGTTCTTAACCCGAGGTACCACTGTACTGCAGTAGAGATGGTATATATGCATTAGAGATAGTGGTTAGGTATTTCAGTCATAAGCATTGGCCTTTCTGCCCTCAAAGCAGGTCAACATTTCTTTTTTCCATTCAGTATACATTGTGTCTCAAAGGGGTTCTCATTTCTTGAGCACATGTAGAGATTTTTAGCACCACTGTCCTTTATCTGTAATTAGTACCAAAATGTCTGGCTTTCACTTCAAATCTAAAATATCAATGATGCAGCCAATGTAACAGGTGTTAATGTCCCCTTGTGCAACAAGACTTTTCTCTCATCCTGCTCAACCCTACATCTTCTCTGGAGATTTTAGAGGGCCTGCAAGTGAGAGGAGAGATATCCTATGAGGATGATTTGGGAGAGCACAGGGAAAGCCTCACTGGAGGCTTGTGCTAACTGAACAACTTCGTTGGATACAACCTGCCCTATTTCCAGTTCTGATGTACACTATTCAGAAGCAGTTCCAAGGATGCAACCATAATATTCAATTAAGAGCCAACTGGATAAAAGCCAAAGGTCCATCTAACCCAGTATTGCTCTCGTGGTGCACAGGTGCCTCTTCGCCCACAAGCGGACCTGAAAGCATTAGAACTTTCCTCACTTGTAATCCACAGCAACTCTATTCAAAAGCATACTACCTCGAACTGTGGAAGCAGAACATAGCCTTACTCCACCCATGAATTGGTCTAATCCTCTTTTAAAGCTATCAAAGTTAGCAGGCGTCACTACATCTTGTGGGTGCAATTTCAACAATTTATGTACTGTGTGAAATTATTTTGTCCTTCCTCAAGTTCTACTACTGCTGGAAAGGGAGACAACCACCACTCTTGTACACTTCCATCAATGGCCTCCCTTGCTTACTTTTTCTTAAGCAGAAAGCCCCAAATGCCGTAACCAGTCAGAAACCAATTTTTCACAAAATGACTTGTCAACAAGAAAAGTACAAACAACACTGTCTCCAATGGACCATTAGTACTTCAAGTCATGTCTTCATAATTAGCTTTAATTTATTTGAAGCAGAATCCCATTTCATACTCAAAAGATTTCAGCCAAGTTACAAATGCACAATTGTGACAAATGTGAAATGGAAGCACTTCTAGAGTTCCAGTGGAAGCAGATAATTCATCCTGCAGAAAGTAATATTCTTCTATAGCTTTATTCTTGACTATATACAACCATTTGAAGTGCTACTGAAACTGGGCTTCAAGCCACAGTTACAATAAATACATTAGAGCAAAGGAACAAATTCTAAAATTCAGCAAGGCCATTAGTTCAAAACAAGTTAATGGTAATTAATCTTCACTGAATGTCACTAGTAGAAAGCAGTTGTCAAAGTACCATAAAATTTCTAGTTATGTAAAACTAGAACATGTGATTGAAATTGGATAAAAAAGTGTAGCAGTCAGATCCTAAACAGGAACTCAAGTGCATAAAGTGTCACTGGCATTAGCAAGTCAATTTCTTTCGATAGAAACAGTGCTTAGGACAATTCACTGTCCAGTACATGCTGTCACCAAGATGAGTGAATGATTGTGTCATAAATATCAAGTCACACAATTCAAGTATTCTTCTATTGTGTCTAGTACAGTATATTTCAAAGTAGCTTGACTGGAATGGAGCCCGGAGGCAAACATATACATTTAAACATTATGTCTACATCTGTTATTGAGAACCTCAAGCACATGTAACACTCAGTTTATTTACTTTAGATACAATCCAGATACAAAATGACAGTGCTTACAGTAAAGTGGTAATTTATCATGTAAACACATTTAGAAATGTCTTTTGACAGAAAATTCAAAGCAGCTGAGTATGGCAAAATTGTGCACATCAAAACCTAGCTTACAAGTTCTGGCTGTACATTTATTCTTTGAAGAACCTCTTCAGGCATACAAAACACAGGATTCACAGGCTTAATTTGTTCTTCTCCCAGTAATGATAGTCCAGCAATTCCAAACAAGGTATGGAATGGATCCACCTACAACATATTAAATACACAAGGAGGTTTTTACATAGTTTCACACTTTTAAAAGGTTAGTGGGTGTGCATTAATAGATTTGAAGATTTAAATAAGGCAGAAAGCTGCAATAAGGTATTTTATTGTCTAACTTCTCTCAAATTCCAAATAAACTGTGAGATTAAAGTTAACTGTTTGAATTTATAGGCAACTGATACCCAGATTGCAATAGCCTAGAAGCCAGCCAAAAATTCCAATAACTCTGTTGCTTCACTTAATTGACACATGCTTATCAAGAACCGTCTAAAAGGCTCTATGGCAGAAGAGACAGGGAAAGCACTTCCTCTGTAGCAAGATACCCATGCATACTCAAAAATGAAACACCTTCTAGTGACAACCCTTGTACAGGGTTTCATTCCAGAGGATCCTGTGGCCTTTAGATGAGATGATTATAGAGCTCCAAGAGACTGACAGAGGGAGGAGCTAAAAAGTATCCATGTAAGGTGCATGAAGCCTTTTGGATATCAACTTACAGCCCCAATATTTTGAATATATTTGATTAGCTATATCCTATACAGAACACTCCCCCCCCCAAAAAAAGCAGTAATCTAATTATATCAGTTGCCTTATCTTCTTGAGTGATCCAGAACCACTACACCTGTTTTTGTAGAGTATGGCTCCTTTTAAAGATCCTCAAATTTTGCGTTATTAGTTTAGAATTGTCAAACATACATCATGACACCTGTACCTTGGTTTTCGTACGCCTTGGTATTCGTATGTTTTGGCTCCTGAACGATCGAAACCCGGAAGTGAGCATTCCGGTTTTCGAATGTTCTTTTGGAAGCCGAATATCTGACGCAGCTTCAGCTATGGCTTCTGGCGCACCTGCGCAATCGGGAGCCATGCCTTGGATTCCGAACATTTCAGAAGTTGAACGGACTTCCAGAATGCATTCTGTTTTAAAACCAAGGTACTATTGCAGTTTAATAGTACCTCTGAGGCCTTTCCTTGATACCCACAAAACATCCAAGTTCTGCCTCCCCCCCCCCCATTGCCCCCTGCTCGTGAGGGTGGCTATTTTTATTCCTTGAAAGGTACATCAAGATGAAGTTAGGAGAGTGACACTCTTTTCTACTTTTTCTTCCAAGTGTGTGTTTTTCAAGGTTTAAGATTGCATATCAATCAATCTTCTGATTCAGTAAAATCAAAGTACACATGCACACACTCCTTTGCTGTGTATCTGTGAGAGAGCGCGCACCTTAGAGGTGACAAAAGGAGATGGTACCCCCAGCACTCCCTCAAAAATTCAAGTTCTGTCCACCAGCTGAAAAATGTTCGCAAACCCTGGTTTAGTTAAATAAAAAGTATTGAAGATTAGTAACTTGCCATATCTCCTGGCCTGTCAGCAAATCCTCCGGTCTCCTCATCCTGGCAAGCCAAGATAAAACTGCGCAATTTCTCTCGGTCAATCCAGTGCAACCTGCCAATAATCTTCAGGGATGCCAATACCCACCATGAATAGCATACATCCGGTAACTAGCAAATATAATAATGGCAATATAGGTTAGGTCAATTGCAATTATAATCTCAAGATCGGGTTAACTGTTGAATGTAGTGAGAAACAACCACATAAAGACACATAGGGTTGTTGTGTAGACAGATTGAAATTAATATATTTAACTTTATTTATTGCATTTGTATACCACCTTTCTGCCAAGACAGTCATAGTGATTTACAATTTTAAAGTATTAAGACGAATGTTGTAATATGCAAATGCTAAACATGTTGATGAATCTACTCACGAGTGTGACTTAGTGGGATAAAACCCACATCATATCTTTCAGGAAGTCTATTCCGTTTCAGTAGAATTACAACCAGTTTTCTTTTTGATTCTGTCCTTCCACTGAACATGTGCACAGCTAAATTTAAACCATCCTAAGATACAATGGGCTATGCTTATGTTCCTAATTAAACAAAGATAATGGACTAAAGATATATATAAAAAAACAATACTCAAATCCTGATGTCATGTCATACCCTTAAAAAAAAATGTGAAATACTTTGACATCCTATTTTCTACTAGAACTAGAAACATTTCACAATGGTTGCCTAAAGCAGTGGTGCAAACAAGGACTTTTTGAGTGGCTTGCCTCCATAAGCTCGCATCAAACAGTAAATTGCTAGAAGTGAGAAAGACTAAGGTTCTTAATCATAACCCAATCAAAACAGTGGGGCCCATAGCTCCAAATACTTTTTATTTTAGTGCTGTGACAGAATTGTTTATGTGCGTGAAGCACCAAGTTTGCCAAACCTGATCCTAAATATAATAGACACATTAACTGTCTTTCAGTGTATTTACCTGCTGCAAGCTAACTTTTGCTTAATTGTTGTATCTTTTTTCAACTGTGCATATTAAGATTATGAAAGAGCAATCCAATTCTACAGACTATAATCAAAGTTAAAATAGTCGTAATATATTTACCAAAATCACTCTTTAGGAAATCTACTTATGGACTACTAGTTCTACTCCCCCACCACAGGCCTCTCCATCTATACAGTATTTAAAATATAAAATGTAACTTAATACCTTCTCTGGCCTTCCATTAAGGCCACCAGATGGCAACTGGCGTTCACAAAGCCACCAGCCTAGCAGATCAGCGTTTATTTGGTGTAACTGGCCAGTTATGGCTAGGAATCCTGTGCAACAATAGATCTAAAATTACAGATATAAAGTTCATGTCTATTTAAAAATATAGCTACTCAGGTGAAACAAAGGAAGATTACAATGTAGAATTCCAACCAATTGTGCAAAAATGTTTACATAAGAAATTAGTCAGCATCTTCTATTAATAAAATTTTAAATCAAAATTATTATTTTAGAGGCTGATTTAACTTACATAACTCCTCATTTGAGACACATGTAGAAATGTGTAGCATACAGCAAGATAATGGACCAGTCTGCATGCAACTTTAAACCATGGCTTAGTTTGATAAGGACAATCCACAACTAGTTTTGAGCTCAAGCACTCTCTCCTTCACCCCGTCCTTTGGAATTGCCACTTGGAGATCAGAAGCTTCTGCATCTTTTAGGTTAAGCAGTTTAGCATTACGTTAGAAAAACAACAACTGTGCTTAATATAACTGAAGTTGGTAAAAAAAGCTAGTTTCATAAACCAATTTCAAACAGACTAAAGTCACTAAACAATTTGCTTAGATTTGAATGTCACAAAAAGCTGCAGTAAATTGAAATGAATGCTTCCAAACATCCACCTGACTTGTGGCAGTGCCAGAAGAATGGGAAAGTGAAAGAACTGAGGCTTACCCTTTTAACACCAATATATGTTTAGTGTTACATGCAAACACAGCCATTGTGCTCATCCACATTGATGCCCATACCTACAAATACGGAATTTAGCATGAGGGTACAAACACCACTGCAGCACCAACAGGTGGTTCTGTGCCGTTAGTTTTGAACATGGAAGGATGGGTTACTCTGAGGCTCTATGCACACCACCTTATGTATAGAGGCGTCTTACTTGCCAATCAGATGTCACTGTGGGACCTCCAAAGATAAAGTAGGTAAGATCCTAATTAGAGTTCCTCCTCCAGCTTAATACCTTAATACTTTAGTTTTATTACAATTACTTTTGTTTTTAAAGCTGAATATAAAAATACATAAGCTGCTCTATTTTAATACTGGACACCTAACTGAGGTTCAGTTTTCCTATTTCAGACTCCAGTTCCTAGCCTCAATCCAAATAAATAATAGAAATATTTAGTACCACGGGAACCAGGATAGACATCTCTACAAATCACGCCCTTCCTTCCTCCATCCCATGAAGTGCAACATTTGCAAACTGTCCTATTTCAAGGCATATTTGGGGGAAATAGTTGCCTTTTGCATTACATTATACAGAATTTAGGACATCTTAAAGGTCTGCATATCTGACGTTTGTGAAGCTGATAAATACGAGTTAAAATACCATAGATTCCGGCGTATTAGGAGACTGGGCGTATTAAGACGACCCCCCAAATTGGCAGCTGCAATTTGAGGGTTCGTCTTATAAGCCCAGTTGCCTAATACGCTGGGCAGCTCTGCACCGGGAGACTACCCGGCATGGAGTGGAGCCTGCCGCCCCTCCTCCTGCTTCTGAAGCAGTGCACGGGGCAGGCTCCGCACTGGGAGAAAGCTGCCCGGCGCGGAGCGCAGCCCGCCGCCCCTGTTGCTGCTTCCGAAGCAGCAGTGAACAGGCTCCGCGCCAGGCAGCAATCTCCCGGTGCGAAGCGGAGCTCGCCGCTGCTGCGGCTGCTTTGGAGCTGCTGCCGCAGCAGCGGGAGCAAATATCCGGTGTATAAGGCGACCCCCACTTTTTAACCTCTTTTTCAGGGTTAAAAAGTCGCCTTATACGCCGGAATTTACAGTAACTAAACTGAACAGAAATAGGTTAGTATGTTAATTGGTGTCAACAGGCATCAATAATCCCTTGCAAGGTTTATTTAAGAAACGGAACTACTTACCTGTCCTGCATGAGATTCAGATCCTGGTCTACAACCAAATCCTCCATCAAAGTTCATACAGGACAACACAAATTCTACTGCTTTGTCCACATCAATTGCATCCAGTTTCCCCTGAAAGGCAGTAAAATCCTTGTAATGTGTTTCCTCCATTTTAATACCAAGGATATTCAACTCCAAACATACTAGCGCTGTCCCTGCAATATACTTCTGTGTGAAAGTCGTTAATGTCTGCAATTTTCACTTGAATGGCATATGGGGGGGGGGAACGTTTCTTAGAAAATTGGCAGATGAACCTGAGATTCATTTGTTCTCTACAGGTCAGTAGACAAGCAAGTATCCCAAACTTATCCCTGCCTACAGCTCCTTACCACTGGGGGGGGGGGGAAGCTTCCTTTCACAACATATGACAAGGGAGACAAATATGACAAAGATCATGTAATATATTTCTATAGCACAGTACTCTGTTATTTACCAAATTCTTCTTTTAACAGAAAACCTGTCTCTCATATATGAACCGCAGCACACAAAAGCTGGAACAGTGCTATCCTAAGTACACTTTAGATGAGCAAAATAAGGAGGATACCAGAATACTGCACTCTTTAGACCTTGTATATTAGGGTTTTTGGGATAGAAAATATCAAAATGTGATGCTGTACCATTTATTAAAAAACTTTGCTTTTGCCTTTCCACATAATGCCTATGGATGCTCTTCTAACCTCCTCTCCAATATAACCACATGACTTGGTCAGTACAGAACAACTAACATGTCATGAGTACTTGCTGCCGTTTGCAACTCTGGAAGTACTTCAAGTTGCTAGCTTGCTTGTGATATGGTGGAGAACTTCTTACCTCCTAAAGGAAATACAGTTTATTTGAAAGTCTTCTTTGCCCACTGTAATTTAAACATGTATTTCAAAATCACGACTGCCACTGATGAAAGGACTCACCAAGAGAGCCAACGTTGCAACAGCACAGAAGGAAAACCTCGTGTCTATTTCTCCTGCAGGAAGAAATAAACTAAGTTTTCATCTTGACAAAGCATTTAAGCAATAATTAAATAAACAAAAAGATGCAAAAAAAAAGCATTTTAAATGGAATTATTCCCTTGTTCCTATTTTCCAATTCCCCCCAAAGATTACTTTCATTAAGTATTTGCTATGCAGCATCACAAAAACAATTCTGTAGTGAATTGGAGTAACCTCCCAAGTTATTTTCATTGTAAAGCCATTCAATAAGCACATCAGCACTTTCTTAAACACTAGTACTAGTAAAGTACTAGCTTGATCTGCTTGTAGATAAAACAATAAGGTGAAAATTATGGGATCTTAAAAGCATTAAAGGTGCAACAATATTATTCTCAGATCTCAGAGTAATTCTAGAGCTAAAATGGTGACAGACATCAACTTTATTGTCAGATATATACAAAAAATCATCACAGATCTGAGAAGCTACTGAATCAGTAAAAATGGATATGGGAATACGATTGACAACCCCTCTAAAACTGAACTTTCACACCGAGGAGGATTGTGCACAACACAAAAGGAAAGCCAAACATGGCGCTTTGCATCCAATAATGCAAGTTAGAAAATGTTACCCCATATGTCTCCAGCAAACGATCCATCCTCTTTCTGTAGGTTCTTTACATAATCAACAATTTTATTTACATTAACAACCTGGAGACTGTCATAGAGAGTTAGAATCTGAAAAACAAAACCAATCAAATTAAATGTTGGTGTATTTCAGAACTACTTCAAATTGTTTTCAAATATTTGCATATTTCAAACTCCACCCCAAACATCATGAAAAGAATTAACTTTTTATTGCTACATTGTTTTCCCTTCGGTGATGCATTCTTCCCCTATTTTCATGAAATATTCTCAGGTCTCAGAGTAATTCTAGAGCTATGTGTTAAAAACCACATCAACTTTAGATTCAGATAAACATGTCAAATCTCATCACTGACCCAAGCAGCCATGTTCATGCTTTTATTGCACAAAATGTGTCAAACTGTGCCCACTACCCATCCTAATTTCTGGCCTTCAAGCTGAAACAAGTGTTTCAGTATTTGTAGAAAAGGCCTGCGATAACATTGCTTTTTAGCCAGCTACAGATGAAGCTTCACCAAAAGAAACCTCAAGTAATTAAGTTGCATCTCCAAAACAGGATGTACCCACACTGGTATTATTTAATTTTCCTACAATATACCGTATTTTTCGCTCTATAAGACGCACCGGACCATAAGACGCACCCAGTTTTTGGAGGAGGAAAACAAGTGAAAGCAGCAATCCCTCTTGATGTTCTGGCTTCTGGGATAGCTGTGCAACCTGTATTCACTCCATAAGACGCACAAACATTTCCCCTTACTTTTTGGGAGGGAAAAAGTGAGTCTTATAGAGCAAAAAATACGGTAATCAATATTATAGCCTCAGAAAATTCACCATTAGTAAAGATAAATTAATTCACTAAACCAATACTATTACTCATGAGCTTACCTGGACAGCGCTAAGTGTGTATAATAGGTGAGGATCATGACCTATACTGGCACTTATGCCACCACATTCACGCTGGCACGATTTGATAAATGCCAGAATTTCTTCTTTGCTCATCCGATGCAGCTGCCCCATGAGATCCATCACAGTCAGTCCCCAATAGACACCACTCATTCGCAAATATTCTGACATACAGTATTCCTAAAAAAAGTGTAACGGATTAGTTCCTAAAGTGATATAGTATAAAACTGACGTAACTTCCCATTTAGTAGTTTCAGAAATCGCCCAAACACCAAGCTGCTTGATTTCATTCCCTTTAAAAACAGTTTTAAACGGCCAGTTTTAAATTGCCCCTTATTTTTATACTCACTTTTAGCACCAATCCAGCACAAGGCCTTGCTAGAGAAGGCTCCCTATATCTGTTTATGGCTCATATTTGTAAATGACCATTTTAAAATCAAGGGAGATGTGTACTTAGTTCTAAGAACTAAATATTTTTAAGTGAAGTGCTTATAAATGTTTTGATCTATAAATTGCTTTGAGTGTCAAAGCACAATACAACAGCTTTCAACCTCTGCAGCAGCAAAAGAAATATGGATGCTACATAACACAGAAGTACTTACTGCACATTTATTGCTCAAATTTTTCCAATCACTTAAAAGGCCTCAACTCTCTCCTATCTCCAACTTGAATAAAAAAAACCAAGTTGCCCTTCATGCTAATGTTTGCAGATAGGACACTGGATAGTTGCACTACGATCAATTTAACAAGGTTCTCCCTTGAGAGGCTTTCAATCATTACAACAGATTCATATCAAGATTAGAACAATTTATAAAATAATACTGTGAACTTGGCTCTTAATATTTGCTTAAATTCCAACAAGAGGAGGTTTCAGAATAGCTGCCTAAATATTTACTGGCTTGGTGTGCACAAAATTGTAAACTATGGTTTGTTCTCATCTTGTTCTTGTGGTCTGTTTGGAGGGAAACAGACTATGGATGCTAGGTTTGCATGCAATGCCTACACTCATTTCCTCGTGGTAAAGCAAAATGTGGTGGGCAGACACAATTTGAACAGTATGCACAAGCACACTTGCTCATTCCCAGTAAGCCAGTTTGCTTAATTCTGATTTACTGTTTTATGCAAACTACACCACAGAATATATAATCCACTGTAGCTGCCTTCCTATAAACACTTACCAAGGAGTCAGTCTCATTGAACTAAGGGGGGTTTACTTCTTTGTAGACATGTATAAGTTTGCCAGATTCAGCACAAGTGCAATACATTTTTTTCACATTCAATAATCAACTTAAATAAACGTTTCTTAGGTCTCAGATCAATAAGTATATCTTCAACTTTGTAGTCAGATAATACATGCCAGGTTACATCACCGACCTAGAGAAACCATTTGCACTTTATGTCACAAATAAACCTACTCTTTTACTCAATATATTAATAGTCATATGAACTATACTGTAATAAAAGAATTAAAAATGCTACCAAGCTTATATTACGGTACTCACATAATCATCTTTCTTTGTTCCATAAGCTGCTATGTAGTCCGCATGTTTTTCTAATAATAATGAAGTTGGTGCATCATTTTTTATTATGACATCTTTTTGTGGCGTTCCCTTAAAAATAATATGGTAAAATTATTTTCACATTTCCCCCTAAATGTGATTGCATGTAACATGTCAGACATAAAACGAATTAAACAAATGGCAAAACTGATGTGTACATACACTTCAGGAATTTATCAAGATCCTTCATATAGTTTGTTTCTTTGGTTTTGTTGTAAAGAAATGCTACTGTACCTACGCAATTGGCTATAAAGGTTTCAGTACACTATGTAAGCATTTATGCCTCTCAAACAGATTTTCCAAGTGATGTTCTGGCACTTTTCTAGAAAAATAGCACTGTATATATCATAAATAAAATGAATTCTCATAATTAATGCTTAGTATAGGCAGAATAAAAAAAGAATGGGGAGTATTTAGCAAAAGCTATTCTAATTTCTAATTCTAGGAGCAGGTGATTACCCTGTGTTACATCTTCTTGACTACATGTTCCCCAACATAAATTAGAAACGTGAAATCCAGCAATAATACCAAAGTGCTGACTCATAGGCAATGTACATTCACCTCTATCATGCTTACACAACATGGAGAATTTGGCAACTACAGTGGTGCCCCGCAAGACGAATAACTCGCTAGACGAAAGGGTTTTCCGTTTTTTGAGTCATTCCGCAAGACGAATTTCCCTATGGGCTTGCTTCACAAGAGGAAACGTCTTGCGAGTTCATTTCCTTTTTCTTAAAGCCGCTAAGCCGTTAATAGCTGCTAAGCCGCTATTAGCCATGCTTCGCAAGACGAAGAGACTCGCGGAACGGATTAATTTCGTCTTGCGAGGCACCACTGTACAAACATATGCAAAGTCAGACTTTGTATTTCTTTGTACTAACCAATATATATATATTTAGAACAAGGCATCCACTTTTATTTATACAACATCAAAAATCGCTACAAACTATGCAAAACCTTAAAAAGACAAATTTTCCCAAAAGAACAAAGTAGATGGAAGGGGCGTGTAAAGAAAGAAGAAAATAAAGATACAGAAGAGTAAGACCCTGAAAACATTTGAAAATAATTGCAAAAAGCTTACAAGTTTAATGAGGAGCTGAAAAAGAATTTACGCTAATTAAATGGGCAATGTAAAATTGAAACATATACCTGATCTATAAACATAAACCAAATCTATAAGGTTTTGGGTCTCCAAAAGTCCTCTCAGATGCCATTCCCTTTATTGTTGTTTTAAGGAACTCTGGAATCCAACACAGAGCATTTCACGCATCCATGAAGCATTCCACTTATGTGAGAACAAAGAAGCCATGTGGCTTCAGGGTGGGGTGGGTTTAGGAAAGGAGGTGGTAGCAGTTCATATATACTTTGGGACTGGTAGCTTGTGGATCTGCTAAAGCAGTGAAAAAAGAATATGTTACTCTCATCTAGGCCAAAACAGCTTTGCAAAACAGCCTACCAGAAAAAAGCCAGTCTGCACCAGTCATCTAGGACTAGAGTTGAAAGGCAGCACTCTGGCCTCTACCAAGATCCAGGAGACCAAGGGCCACTGAGAGGTTATACCCAGTTCCCAGAAGAACGTTTTGGTCAACCAGGCTCTGTCTATCAGCCACTTTCCCCCAAGCTTTCTTTCCATTTTCTTCCCAATGCTCTTCTCTATCATGTCTATTAGATTAGAGCATGTGCTTGTGGGCAAGGGCATTCTTTTACTGTATCTAGTCTCTCAGAAAAAGTTAAGGCACTTTATAAGCATTAAATAATAAAGTACAGCTTAAAACTACAATCTTGATTTATTTAACAGTTCCAGGAAATCCTACCACAGCCATACTGAAGAAGACATTCGCTCTCAAATGCTAACAAACAGCTTTGAGATAGCCTTCCAAAATTCACGCTGCCTATTTTTAGCAACTAATAACCCCCCCCCCCAATTCTGTTGCTTAAAATTACGTGCCTTTGGTTACATTGCAATCTTATGCTGCGTAATATGCCGCTTTAAAATAAAGAGCAATTCTACATTAAAAAAGAAAAGCACCACTTGGTGCAGTTATTCGCTTCTTAAGCAAAGGGCGAGGCGATGTTTTACTATGGCGGCCGAACCCGCAGCCCTCGTGCCTGCAACCCGCACAGCCCTTTACCGCCAGCGATCAAGGGAAGAGTTCCCGCAACCCTTTGAGGCCATCCCTAGTAATCCCATTACAAAAACCTTTGCTTGGAGAGAGAGAAGACGAAGCGAGGCCACGCCACGTGCACGGCTGCCAGCATGCGACCCTCCATGGCTCCGCGAGCGAGATTCTGAAAGAGCCACGTGACTCTCCCTCGGGGGCGCCGCGCGCAGGTTCTGAAGGGCGGGCACGTCCCTATCCAGCTCTTAGGCCGCAGACGGGCCAACCGCTTGATTGGCGGACCGAGTGGCCAATCACCGCCCAACCCGTCTTTCACTAGACTCAGCTTTTCCTTCGCAGGCTCTTATTATCCTACCTCCCCCTCCCCCCCCCACGCCAAACCGTCTACCGAAAACCCGACGTAGCACGTCCGCTACGCGGGCACGACCGACTCGTTTCCCCACACAGCTCGCGGAACTGGGGTGAAGGGGTGAAGGGAGAGAGGAATCCGCCCTCGCGTGAGAGTGGAGGGGAGGAAAACGCGACTCGCTACTCACCATGTTGGCACATCTGCGGGACTCAGCCCTGCGCCCAGCGCGCACGCGCCCCCTCGGCCGGAAGAGAACGCCATTTCCGTCTCGAGGACCCCCAGTATAGCTGTCCTTGTGATGCCTGCAGTGACGTTCGTAAATGTATGAGGCGCTGCTTATGGCCCACGTTATTAACAGCCTTGGGGGGGGGGAGGAGTTTTTGCCGTTTAAAATGGCAAGGCTTTCCCCTCTCCCCCCTGAATAGGTTTCACCACCACTGGAAACCGTAACTAGCGTTTTCTCCCCTTCTTTTTTTATTGCTTTCGGTATTTATTTATTTATTATTGCTTTTTGCAGTAGATACTGAACGCGGAAGGAGACGAATGGGGACATTTGTCCTGGGTGAATTTTTTTCCACAGGAACGACATGGGCTCTATCAAGCCCCATATTCACGCGATCAGAAAAACACGTTGACCTTTGGGGAGTGTGCCATCATGACCCAAACTATTCCTAATTTGATGCCTGTTTGCACTGAGCTGTGGGGTGGAAGTGTTTCCTTGGGGCAGCACAAAGGCATCCCCGGAAGTTCAAAGTCGCAAGACAGAACTAAAAAGGGACCCTGGCTGCCTGTGAATACTTGCCCTATGCATAAATATGTAGAAAAAGGAAAGAAACTTTTGAAACAGATACTGTAATTCTATTATGCATTTTCTTACTTAAATGTTTTGCTCTCTCAAAATTATCAATGTTGGTTTCTTATAAAAGTTAGGTGTTTTAAAATGATTTGTGAGAGTAGATTGCCTTTGATGAAAAAGTCCAAAATAGCTAGTCAGGGACTAGTACAGGCAAGGTGTTGTATTCAAAGAGTATTTTGATTTATTGAAAAGGCAGAGCTTTCAAGAAGTCTTTTTAAAACAAAGATGCAAGTGCAACCTAAGAGATAAATTATAGAATGCACACTCTGACCATCCACACAAAAATGCACCAGTCATTTTTTTAAAAAAGCATTTCAATGCATACCATTCCCACCACCAGAACAAGTAATATAAAAAATGCATTTAGTTGCAAGAGAAAAGTTATCAGACAGCATTTCACAGCAAACTCCAACATCAGAGATCAACTGAACTGCACTACAGTTGAAGCAGAGACTGGACACCAGTATTCTAATGACCTAGAACAGATTTAATACTAACACAAATGAGCTGTTTTCCATTTCAATGCCAAAATTCATACCCAGATTATAGAACAAAAACAGAGTTTCAGGGCAAGTATTTTTTTTTAAATTAGTTGATACTATAGCTAATTGACATAATGACAGTACTGTAAACATTACTGGAACCAAAAATACATTGTATGGCTTTTTTCATATTTGAGTGCAATAAAGCATTTGTTTAGTAAGGTTGATATAATCTGGCTAAAGGCACCAAAACCATTATGTATACTCTTCAGATAATTGAAAAGTTCAACACAGGCACCATAAGTTTTGTTTTACAACAACATACAAAGTTGTTTGCAAAACTGCTACTCTTCAGTTTCCAAAGTCATAAAATTAAAAGTCTTTATTTTTTCATAGAAGTTAATACAATATACAGTAATGTGGCTTTTCCAAGGTCAAGGCAATTTGTTCTGAGGCACACTGTAGCATGGTGTGAGGTACACATTGATTTCAAAAGTAAGGTTCATTGCTTCTTTGTTTCACATTGCTCTTGTATGTTGTTGAAAAAATCCACACTACAGCTGTTCCACAGATGTTTTGCATAGCTACGCTATATAGAGAAATGGCAAATTAAAATACAGTCACAGTACAGCTGACCTGATAGTGATTATAATTTCACACCTTACCTTGCGTACAATATGCATTATTTGGTAATAATTGGTATGATAACATGGTGAGTCCATAATCTTCTTATTGCACACAAACAAACATTCTTAAGTGGCCCTACTCCCAAAATACATAATTTGCAAATAGAAAAGAAGAACCCTAAACTGCCGGTATTGGTATGAACTTCTTAATCCAATACAGTGTCACAAGTTCAATTTGAGGCACTTTAAAAATGTTGAGAGAAGATCAGAGGACAGGGATAACCAAGTAACTATGGAGTAAGGTGAAAGTAAAAGCAGCCACTAAAAAAACAAACTAAAAAGAACCACATGCACCAACATGTATCTAATAACCCAATTTTTCAAGAGGTCTCTGGCTAACAGTTTCAATAATTAAGGAAAAAAGTTTTTTCCATATATTGAAGATCTGAAACAGATATGCTACTACTTTGAGGCCATTTTATTTTTTCAATCTTAAAAGGAGCATACCAGAATAAAGACAAATGTTTGCAGAATCAGGTTAATACATGCCCTTGTCTCTCTTCAAAAGTTCTCAACCCTTAAACCTGCCAATGTGTTCACGAGCTACAATCAGTCTCTGTATCTGAGCTGTGCCTTCATATATCTGAAAAGAAAGCATACAATAAATAAATAAAAGGCAGGTGCTTTTGAGCATTTTCAAAACTACATAAAATATGAAAATACAGGGAACTTCTTATCAGTATGTTACCAGTTCAATGCAAAAGTTGCTGCAGATGCTTAATGGCGGGGAAACAAATCTCACCAGGTACTTCAAGGCTGCACTTAAATGGCTATGGTCCAATAGGCTACTTTAGCTAAGCCTAAGAACTTCTTTGAACAGCAGACACCCATGGCACATAACAAATCATTTGGGAAAATTTCCTCCATTTCAAAATGTGTTTTCCATATGGACACTTCTGTTATAGAAACAAGTTCAAATGCCTGAAGTACAATGATCTACTGCTAGTGGGTCAGGATCCAGTACTGAGTTCCAGCCTAGTCATACATGGGTCACAACAGCAGCACTACCACCATACAAATATATGGTAAATATGAAGAAATGGGTTTCAAGGTGGGTCCCGGGTCTGAAAAGGTAGAAGACTACTGCTCTAGTTTGTACAGTTATGCCATTCAGACCTCAGGCAGAATTTTTATACTATTTAAAAAAGGAATGGCTATAACCTGAGCTATGGAAACCTACCTCCTTTTCAAAAATATTACTTGATTTCAAACCGTATAGGTGCTAATCCTACTCTGAGTAGACCAACATAAAATTAATAAACATTGCTTAGGTTACTTAATTTCAATGGGTTCTGCTCCAAGTATGACTTAGTTGATTATAACGTAATATTTTGTTAATAATTACCACATTTTAATTATGTGTGTGTGTGTGTGTGTGTGTGTTTGTATGTATGTATGTGTGTTTTTATCTGAGGTCAAGCTGTTTCATGTAACATACATTCCAGATTAACTACATATACTATATTTTGTATAGGATTGCATCCTAAACGGGTCTTTTCTCCACACTGCCACGGATTTAATGCTCAGAAGATTTTAATTTTTAACCTGTAGGCATTTCATACAAATACTGCTTAAAAAAACCCTGCAGGTGCTGAGTGCCACCTTAAAAGAAGCTGCCTCTCCTATGAAAGAGTATACCTATTAAGATGAATGCTGCAACAACACAGATGTGTCATTTAAAAGGGAAACATACTTTTGTCTTTATATTATATACACAATTTATTAATAGACTGCTGCTATCAATTCACTAAAAATGTTAACTGGGCAACAGTTCTAGTATTTGCATTAAATGGGTTACCTACCTGGTATATTTTGGCATCTCTCATTAGCTTTTCTACTGGGTATTCACTATTGAATCCATTTCCTCCAAAAATCTGGACGGCATCAGAAGCTACTT